GTGTATAAAAAAAGGTAACGAATGCTCAACTAAAAATGGTAATTTAATATAACCGTGTAATTAAAATGGTAACGAATGTTAATGGTAATTTAATATAAACGTGTATAAAAAAGGTACAAATGGAAATTTTATTTAATTTAGCTCCTATATTTTTGTATATAAAAACGTATGAAATAAAACAATTTATACGAATGGTAATAATAATAAAAGGTAACAGAAAAGGTATTTAAAGATGTAATTACCATAATAAACTTTAGTTGTATTTGCTTAAAATTCCGGAGAAAGGAATTCTATGTTACCATAAACTTTAATTGTAATTACCACAATTTCCTTTTGTTACCATAATATAATAGATTACCGTAATAAACCATAATTGTATGTAATTATAATTACAGTTATCATAAAGAACTTTAATTCTTCGTGAAAATTCTGGATAGTATAAATACGCTACCTTACCGTGCCAGAAAATTAAACGAGTGTTCAGGAAACGAGAGTTTTAGAAAGTTTTAATTAATCGGTGCTTCACCTCTGTTTTTGGCCGGAGATGGGAATGATTACCGCCCTAAAAAATGTTCATGAAAAATCCGGGTTGTTGATGATGAAGCTAAGAGCAATTAGAGTTTACCACGTTGCTGCTCATTCTCGAGGGCCGGAATCGTTGAATGTTGTTTTCCATGACTCAGAGGTTAGTTCTACATTGTTTTATATTTTACAAATAATAGATCTTTAAACAAAAAATATAAATTTAATTACAGATTAATGGTTTATATTTGTTGTTAGGGCGATCAGATCCATGCTCAGATTAAAGATACTGATATAAGCACATTCAAACAAGCTTTGGAAGAAAATGCGGTTTACTTAATCATGAGGGTCAAGGTTTTACGCAATTTCCAAGGCACAAAAACTACCAATCAACCTTGCATGCTCCAATTTTTGGGAAAGACCAAGATTCAAAAACTAACAGAAAATGGATTTCCTAATTTTCGATTCTACTTTAAGAGTTTTGAAGATGTACTCAAAACAAAGTTTGCTAACCAAGTCTTTTTAGTTGGTAAGAGTCATTTACATTTACATAACTTAAATACTTACACATATGAAATACATTTTATGTATTATGATTATGAAAATTTTAAAATTGTATTTTTATGGATTTTCAGATATAATCGGGAAAGTAGTTAGTCGAACTGTGCCCGAAACCCGTATGGTTAATAATGCCCCGGAGCAAATGATGGAAATTACCTTGGAGAACCACAAGTAAGTGACTTTTTAATAACCAAATTCATTTTAATTAAAAAAATATTATACTTTGAAAAAATTACTAAATAATTCATTTGCATGATACGTTTTTTATGGTTAGCTAATTACTAAAAAATTGCGACACATATTATATTTAAAAATAATTATAACTTTTTTTTGTAGTGGCGTTCGGTTGAATTGTACGTTATGGGGAAATCACGTCAATGTTTTCATTGATGGATTGAGTGCATCGGAATCGACCCTTCCAATTTTGGTGTTGCAGATGGTGAAACCTAAGTTCTACAGTGGTATATATTCATAAATTAATTCAAATTAATTTTGAAATACATGTACCCAATGATTTAATTCTAATTGTATTTTTTCAAATCATTTAGAGCAAGTGTCTGTTACAACATTTTACTAATAATTTCTGAAAGAGTAATTTTTGAAAGATGATTCTAATAGAGTTATTTCATGTATTCCACAAAGAGTAATTTTTTAATTATTGAATCATATACGGAGTATAATTTAAAGGGTTTACACGGGATTTAATAATTAAATTAGTAAATAGTTAATAACTAAGGCAATAATTTAAATATTTATGGAAATACGTGTTCATTTTTTTAATAAGTTTAATTTAGAAAGTAATAAAAAGTAAATTTATTAATGATAAGAGTTTAAGTGAGTATTAGACTTTAATTTTATTTGCTTTCCTAAATTATTCACTATTTGCAAATTACGTTAGTTTATAAATTTATAAATTGTGAATAAGATTAATTTTTATGAGGTATTAATAATTTAGTATTATAGAAAGTAAATAATGGCACAATTTAAATTTTTAAATTCATTTCAAGTAGTCACGAGAGGCCAAAAAGGAAATAAATACTAATTGCCATTAAAATACCTAAATTAGTTACGTATTTTCTAATTTCCTAATTTATGAAAGAACTGGATTGCATTGTTTTTTGGTATTAATAATTAAGTATGGATATAATTTAATAAATTTCCTAATTATATTAATAATCGATTAATTTTCTTTATTTTAAATAATTACTACAAGCAAATATATTTTTTTATAGTAATACAAATCTATTAATTTATTTCTTATTTGCAGAAAGGATATTATTGGATACTTGGTGATGTTGTTGAAATTGAAAACACCAATGAATGGTGTTATCTTGGTTGTCCCAAGTGCAACCTTGTTCCAGATGCTACAATGTTCAAGTGTATGAAATGCGACATAGATTATATTGAGGGAGTGTATAGGTTGTAATTTGCATTCAATTACAAATTCGTGTACCGAATCACGAATTAACTCTGAAGGTAGGCACGCCTATTATGTTGTTGAGAAATATTGACCATTCAATGGGTTTATGTAATGGTACACGGTTGATAGTAACCCGGTTGGCTAATCACTTAATACAAGGAAAAATATTATCAGGAAGCCACATGGGTGAAGAAGTTGTTATTCCAAGACTATCATTAATAGCGTCCGATACAAGAATTCCTTTCAAGTTTCAAAGAAGACAATTCCCTGTGGTTACTTCGTACGCAATGACGATTAACAAGAGCCAGGGACAATCTCTGAAACATGTTGGACTACTGTTACGAAAACTTGTGTTTAGTCATGGACAGCTCTATGTTGCAGTTTCAAGAGTAACTAATCGTAGTGGATTGAAGGTTCTAATATGCAATGAAGACAATACTCCCACAAATACTACAAATAATGTAGTCTATAAAGAAGTCTTTTGAAATTTGTAAAACATTGATGTTTTGTACTTTCAAATAATATAATCTCTATATTCTATAGCATCTCATTTTTTATCATTGAAAAATGATCTAAATTTAATAACATAAAAATAACACGTGCAACGCACGGGTGTGATACTAGTTCTCAAAATAAAAATTGGCTATGTGCGTATACACCCGATCTTTCTCTTCCTTACTTCGTGTGCATTATTCCAATGTTTGTTGTGTTGAGCCTTTAGCATGCCGTTCTGCAACAACTTCTTCAGGACTCTTTTGAAGCATTGCCACAACTGTCTTGTTCTATTTTGGTTGTGGTGGTGATGCAATCGAGAACATCGCCTTCTTCCTTTTCATTGATGTTCCTCACCTAGGATGAACAAATTTTGTAGAAGAGACATTTGATCTCAACCTCACTTCTCCCTCATCATCACCATCAAGGCCATCTTCATTCAATATCAAAGTCTTATTTCTCTTATTAGCTAACAAATAATTTCCCATCTCTTGCCTAATTGGTGTTGTAGTTTTTGGACAGACTATAGTGTCACCATAACCACCTGTGAGACGTTGCTTCAATCTCTTGATTCCTCCACACAAAACCTTATCACATAGCTTGCATTGAACTGCATCCTTGTTTGTGAGGTCTGGCCAAAAGGCATACTTCCACCCTGGGTCATTTGATTTAGCCCTGTGGTCAGGATGGTCTCTTGGTTCAATAGTTCCTGCCATGGATGACTGGGAGGTGTGAGAGCTGATAGGCGAAAGGCCTGGGATTCTGGTAAGCCAAGAGTCGATTAGGTGAAGAAAGAGAGAGATACGACTCAATTTACCAGTTTGAGAGAGAGAGAGAGATATTGTCCTCAAAGAGAGAGAGAGAAAGAGAGAGAACTACTGAGACAGAGACGAGAAGATTGAGAGAGAGAGAGAGAAAAGACTGAGAAGATGCAACATACCGGAAGAAAGAGAGTCGGCAGATCTGGAAAGATGGAGGACTATCCGCAGATCTGGGATGGGAAGAGGCTCTTGATCGAGCCTAGAGATAATTTAAGTCAAATCTTCTTAAACACTTTAAAATAGACTTGCAAAATATTTGGGTTGCACTAAAAGGATGGGCTGAACTAAAAAAAATAGGCTGCACTAAAAAAATTGGGCTTTTTATAATTTTGAAGTGACCCAAGGCGTCAAGGCGAGAAAGGCGACAAAAGGCGAGGTAAGGTGACGCCTAGGCGAGCGCCTGACTGCCTTAGGGTTTTTTGGGCGAGGCGAGCAAAACATAACGCCTTAGCGCCTAGGCGACGCCTTACCAACTATGGATCTCATCCATCACCCCCAACTACCAGAGTGCTGCCGCCGATCACCGACGATTGATGGGGTAGTGGGATAAGAGGGGGTGAGGGGTATGGGTGGTTGATGGGGGNCAATGTAGGAAGGAGTGGGGGTGGTAGGGGTTTGGGCAGAGTGGGAGGGATTGGGGCAAGGGGTGCTGGGGGTGGGGCTAGGGGTTAGGGGCGGGGGTGGTGGATGGAGCGAGGGCGGGGAGTGAGTGAAAATTTTCTTTTATATCAAACAGAAATCGTTTTCCTTGACATGAGAAAATATTTTATTTAACAAATATTTTTCCAAATTTTCTGAAAGAAGTATTTTTTTCCCCCAACTAGATGGAGCTTTCAAATTTTTTCCTCAAAATTTGAATACAAAACGGGACCAAGAATCACTTAGAAAAGAAACTCAGACCATGTTGATACCCACTATTATCAGTTCCAGATCCTGTAGACCAGACCTGTACGGTGTCAACCTAAGAGTAATTTTTTTTAAATAAAATAAGTTAAAAAGTATAAAATTTGAAAAAAATAATGACTTGCCATTGCAAAACATACCACTTTACTCACTTGTCACACATTGACTAGACTAATTTTAATTGATTATAATACTCCACGTCACCCCGTGTGGCATTCCATTTTTTACTCATTGCTTATATTCTCTAACAGCTAGACCCTTCCCTTGAAATGAGACGCGGAAAGGAGAGTCAACACGGAACGGACGACTGTTGTAAAAGACCCTTTTCTGTTGGGGCTCTTACCAGAACAACGTCGCAACCAGTCTTCTCTCTTCTCTCAATCTGTCGTCTCCGATCATGCCTCTTTCGCCGGCTTTAGTTTTTTAGCCGGTCTTCGTTTCGTTGCTCCCTTCCCCGTCGCTCGACTGTAAGTGTTAGAATTTTTTCAATCATTGGTTTCACAAGTAATTTGATTCTTAATTTTTGCTTTCAATGGAATGATGGATGCTGTTTATTCTTCATTGCTGAATTCATCTTTGACTCCACTTTGGGGCTTCAATTTCATTTATTTTTCTCCTATGGTGAGTAGTTAGATAGGGGAAACTGATCAACACAATGTGGAAAATCAATGAAGTACTCAGTAGTTCGGAGTAAATTTTTTACGCCCTCTGTTCCCCAAAGCATTTGGTCGTTCAGACTTCAGACTTGATCAAAGCTGTTTACAATTCAGTTTAGTACTCCCACAGCCTCTCACGGAGTTTGGGACCAGGAAAAATAGCATGTAATTGTGTGGTTGATATTGAGTTCTTTTAGTCTGGGTGACTTTGTGACATAAACATGACCAATTATAATATGAGGCACATTTTTGGGACAGATGGCAGATCAAAACAGAGAAATGAAACAAGCATAGTGTGACAGAGAGATGTAATTTAAAATTGGTATTTAAAGTCTAGTTATTTCAGAGCTGCAATCTGCACTAGAGTACTATTAGAGTGAAATACCAATCTTGAAAATGATGTAAAACTGTTTTAGGGAGGAAGCAAAGAAAAAAGATTTTGTTTGACAAGATGAATCATGGTAGAAGCTATCCTTTTGAAACCTAGGTAGTACTGCACAGTGTACTCTGTACTATTTTTATACTCATTCCGTCCTAATTTAGTTGTCCGCCATCCATAATACTTCATATTGAAGCAGTGAGAGCGAAGTGTCAAACAAGTACTTCAAATGTAATTATCATTTACTGATGTCAAGTTCTCAACTAGCTCATATGCTATCTAGAGGATATTTTAGATAATGCACCATGCATTGTTTACAAAATATGAAAAGAAGACAACTAACTTCCGGACACAAAAAACAGGAAAGTTGACAACTGATTTTATAGCATTGATTTTATTTTTGTTGAATTGGGGTTATGGATTGAACTTATTGAAATTGACTTAAATGATTAAATGAGAAAAATCATAAAAAAATGTCATAAGATGTATTTATAATGAAAGGAAATAATATGTCAAGGGTGCTGATAAAAACTTCATTTATCTTAATTTCATCCGTTTCATTGAAAAGTGCCATCTGCACTAATTTTTAATTATCCATCGATGCACTGAGTCAGAGCATTGTGGTACATATATTTTTACGGTGTATAAGACATTGATGATAAGACGTCTAAGCCAAACATGCTTTTATTATTTTTTAAAAAAAGTAATTTTTGAATGCCTTGTCTGTGCCACCAAGTAAGACTGACAAAATGAGATGGAGGGGCTACTAGTGTATGGTTTATAGTTTCTTTTACCTGTTGTTCTTTATTAATGTTTTTAATGAAAGAAAAAGCTACATCATTGTCTCTTGAGCTGTGTAGAATTAATTGTTTTTGTTGTGGCTGTGTACTTTTAAAACATTGTTCTATGTTTTGTTGCATTGTAGTCCTCAATAGTATTGATGTTACAGTATTGTTTCCTGTTTGTCTCTATCAACCGTTCCTTAAACCAGTCTATCAAAAATGCATGCACAGCTAGAAAACATTGGAGTAAAGAATATGAAACTAAACATTGAGGAATATAATGCAACGTTTTGACAAAAATGAGGACAGTATTTGAAAAAGATAGAAAATCAATGATTAAATTGACTAGTTGTGCACAGCTCATGGGATTAAACAAGAAAAAAAATGCAATTTTCAGTTTAAGAAAGAATTATGAATATATAACGTATAAACTATTTTTTCCGATTTGAGGTTTTACCTACAGTCGTATTCCATAACAATATACGTAGTAATATATCTAACATCTTGTCCACATGACTGTCATGATACTTTTTATGCATGTGGGAATAATCAATGATGAAGATGGTTTTAGAAGATTTAAAATGGACTGATGGTTCACTCACATTTTTTTATTGCTGGTATGCAATTGGAAATATCCTAAACGACGTTGTTTTTTACATAGTTATAACACTCCAAACCGTGTTATGTGTGTTTTCTTCAAAAAATGAATGTATTTATTTTTTATAGATCATTGGATCCAATTGAAACACAATATTCTGGCTGTCTTCAATGCCATATCTTGGATGTCGGAGTTTATAATTTTAGCTTCCATGATAGAGAGCTTTTTTAAGAGATGGAATACAAGGTCTGGAATTTTTTATAGACCGTTTTTTAATGTTATAGGGCACCAGATGATTATTTTAGCATACCTTTTGGTACTTTGGGAAAGAGGAGGAAAGTGTAGGCCCTTTTGTTAAACTAAATTACTTCTAAGTGAGACAATTTTGAGAGTTTTTCATGAAAGCTTTCACTCTGTGGAGTTTATCAGATATTATTGTCATCCAAGGGTTATTGAGAATATTATTTTGAGTGGAAATGTTCTTGTCTTCTCAGGGTCACCACTCACCACCGAAATGGATATGACAGTTTGACTACTTCACTAAATTACTAGTTACAACTTAGGGTTGTACCATTATATGTCAATTTGATGTTGAGAAAAGCCCACCTGCATGTTACCCTTTTATTGGCTGCCTAAGCATTCCCCTAGAATTAACACTGCCTAATTCAGCGCATGCTTCTCTAACCCTGCCCACTCTTCGCATAGGCACAAGGCCCTACTCTATAGCCAGCATAGTGCCTTGATCTTTTTAGAAAATTACTTGTGTCATGTATGATGATTATCATGCTTCTTTCTAGTTGCTTATGGATTACAAAATGGTTAACATCCCTCTCCTCCACTTAGGGAATTTTTATATAACTATTCCTGCAAGTTTTTGCTATCCAAGGTTAATTGGATATTAGTTGAATCAAAGGGCGGTAGAGTATTTGTACATATTGTTCTTAGTGATTGGGTTCTTAGGGCCACTAGAGAAATAAATATGATAAAGGTGAGATCTTTATTATGAGGGTTCATATATATTGTTCTTAGTGATAGCTAGTTTGATGTGATCCTCATGGGAGAACTTGCGCTAACCAACACACCTAAATGACTTTCAAGGTCTCAATCCTTTACAAATCAAGAAATGAACATTTTGTTTTACAATGCTTTGCTAACTTTACGTAGCAACTCTAAGTGCACTAGTGTTTGAAACTATAAAAAGTTTTTGAGGAAACACCTCATAAGGTTTCACTCAAATTTTACAAATCATCACTTCCTCAACATATCTTACAAATGCTGAATAGTAAAAACATGCCTACTTATAGGCTAGGACCTCATAAAATTACAAACTAATTAAAATGACATAAAATCCTTCAATAACTAAAATAATTTAACCTCATTGTAATAAAATATTACCTCCATCCCAATGTATTCATTTAGTTTGACTTTTTCAAGTAAAACATGGCAAACTTTTGACCTCAATCAACTAAAAATTGTAATGTACTCCGTATATTAGTAACAGAATAATTTTATTAGATTTGCCTATTGAGAACTTTCAGAATTTAATTTTATTATACTAATATGCAATACAGATTGAGAGTAATTAATGTTTAAAGTGCGTCTAGTTTAACTGAAATCCCAAATATTTTATCTTGTAAGATTGATATTTCAATCTCCAGAAGTTGACATTTCACATGCTCTTGTTAAAAAACAATATAAATTGTTCTTCTAATTACCATATCAAGAGTAGTAATTAGCATTGTTAAGTCTCCATAAAATACTACCTCCGGCCCTAAGAACTTTTCCACTTCCATTTTTCATCCGTCTCAAAAAACCTTTCCACTTTCTATTAAAAGTCACTTTTAACCCTATTAATTTTTACCCTACCTATTAGTCTATTACATAATATCTATTCACTATTAGTCTACCCATCACATCTTACTTTTACCCATCAATATAAGGGCATATTTGGAAAGTCAACACCAAATTTCACTCCCCTTAAATCCCTTAAAAAGTCAATACAAGAAGGGTTTTTAGGGAGAGAGGGAGTTAATCATAGGAATCTTCTTAGCTCCATCGGCCATAATTCTTGGAAATCATCAAATGTATTTAGATATCAGAAAACATTTTTTCAAAAGATTTGAGATTTATTTGGACTGCAACAGTTTCAGTAAAAAAATAATTAACAATTTCCAAGTGATTTCAAAATAAATCCTTTAGCAGGTTATGTCTGTCAAACCTGATACTTAGTATCTACCATTTTCTTAAGAAAACCCCCACAAGGTTTCACTCAAATAGTACAAATCATCACTTATTGAACAACAACAACAACAACCCAGTTGAATCCCACTACAGTAGGGTCTGGGGATGGTGTGTGTACGCAGACCTTGCCCCTACTCGGAAGTAGGGAGGCTGTTTCCAAGAGACCCCCGGCTCCAACTGCACAAAAAATATGATAAGAATCACAGTATAACACAGATAAAGCACCAAGTACAATGGAATGAAAGTCTTGCAAGCAATAGCAAAAATTTCCAACCAAACAAAACACACTACAAAAAACCCCTGAAGCACCTATCCAGCTACTCTAATCCTAGTTCTCCAAAGGTTCCTATCTAAAGTCATATCCTCAGTCAGGGTGAGAAGTTCTAAATCCTGCCTAATCACCTCCTTCCAATTCTTCCTAGGTCTACCCCTTCCCCTACTTTCCCCGACAACCGTAATCCTCTCACATCTCCGTACAGGGGCGTAAGCATTCCGCCGCCTCACATGACCAAACCATCTCAACCTCGCTTCCCGTAGCTTATCTTCCACCGGCGCCATGCCTAACTGACGTCAGATAACTTCGTTCGAAATCCTATCCAACCTTGTCTTCCCACACATCCATCGTAACATCCGCATCTCCGCCGCATGCAGACGACGCACATGAGTCTTCTTAACCGCCCAACACTCTGCCCCATATAACATAGCAGGTCTGACTACGGACCGGTAGAACTTACCTTTCAGCCTGGGCGAAATCTTCGGATCACACAACACCCCTGAAGCCAACTGCCATTTGGCCCAAGCCACTCCAACACGATGTCCAACATCCCCGTCTAACTCCCCATCAGCCTGAATTACCGAGCCAAAATATTGAAACTTGTCAACCTTAGACACTATGTGAGAGTCAATCCTAACTTCCACTTCTGATTTCGTTTCCCGACCACTTATTGAACATATCTTACAAATGCTATATACCTGTCTATTTATAGGCTAGGACATCAAAAAATTACAAACTAATTAAAATGACATAAAATAATTTAATCACATCGTAATAAAATAAAATAAAAATAAAATATTTCAAACCCAAATTTTTGATCTTCTAAGATTGATCTTTAATTCTCCAAAAGTTGACATGTCACATGCTCATGTTAAAAATTTATACAAATTGTTCTCCTAATAACCATGTCAAGACTAGTAATTAGCATAGTTAAGATCTTGTTTTCTTCAACTTATTCTTATTGGAATCAGACCACACATCAAACTTTAATAAAGTTAAATTAAATCCAATCAGATCAGACAAAAAGACTAAGCTCTCTAAATAAATCATAGGAGTATTATTTAGCTCCATCCTGCCATAATTCTTGGAAATCATCTGTAATGTATTTAGATATCTGAATACTTTTTTCAGAAGATTTGAGATTTATTTGGACTGAAACAATTTCGGGGGAAAAACATACTCCGTAATAATTACCAATTTCCAAGTGATATCAGTGGAATCCTTCAACGGGTTAAGTCTATCAAATCTGACACTGAGTATACCATTTTCCAATTATTTTTTAAATTGGCAAATAAAGCGAGTTCCCATTTCAGCTCCAATTGTTTTGGGATATTGGGGTCGAGCCACCTACCTTCATTTCACTCTCAAGGACATGTTTTACTGTATTAAAAACCCACGATCTTCTTGAATTTTTCAAACAATTATTTCATTGGTCCAGTCTCCCTTTAATACCGTTTCCAGGTATGTATCACAATTGCTGTTATTTTCCAGTTGGGTTTGTGGTTCACTCAACTCTGGCATCGGAAACTTAGGCTAAACCACACTTAACAATGAGTTCAACTGATTAGCTAGTTCAATACAAGATTTATTAACCTATCATTTTTTCAACACTTATGTCTGTCAAACCTGACACTGAGTATCTACCAATTTCCTATTACTCCCTCTGCCCCATTGTTTTTGTCCATTTTTACTATTTTTGTCCCATTCCATATATGGTTATATTTGCGTGGTTTACATTCGTTCTTAGTTCTTACTTTACCTTACTTTTTAAGATCAATGTCAACCACACAATCTTACTATTCTCAATTTTTGTGCTTCCCCCATGTCCCAAAAATAGTGGGACAGGAAGTATTATTTAAATTGGCAAATGAGGTGAGTTCTGATTTGAGCTCAAATTGTTTTGGGCTATTGGGTTCAAGCCACCTACCTTCATCTCACTCTCAAAGACTTGTTTAAGTATATTAAACGCCCACAATCTTTTTGAAATTTTCAAACAATTATTTCATCTGTCAAGTCTCCCTTTAATATTGTGTCCGGGATCGTATCAGAATTGTCCTTTTCCAGTTGTATGTGATTGAAGTTAGGATTGGTATGTGGTTCAATCAACTTGGCCATTAGATAGCAAAACTACACTATAAAATGAATTCAATCGATTAGCTAGTTCATGACAAGATCTTATTAATTCATCGTTTTCTCTTTAATTTCCCACAGACAACTATGTTAAATGGCCATATCCATTTATGTATTGAGTCGAATGGTAGTCTAATTTTAAAAGAATAATTAAATGAATTAAAAAGATAATTTTTTGGTACTAGGCCATGAATGTCTTCTCTTCTTCCGAAAAGTCTCACCCAGATATGAAAGATTGAGAGATGATGATCTATGAGACAAATTTTTGTCTCCCATGGGTGACCAAGTTGAAGGTAGCTACTAGCTATGGCCCATTAACTGCTTTTGTCATTGGCCATGCAGAAAAATTAACCACACTAAGCAAACCCAGTATATTCAACTCAAGAGTAGATATAGGAGCAGGACCTCCATTTTGGGGTGGAGGGAGTAGGTTTCATTGTTACCCGAGGTCATCGAATTATGTCCGAATGATATACTAATATACTATTTGGAAGGAGACATGAGCTTGTGGTCTCCTTCTGGAGAACTCTACAGAGATGAGGCTGCTACCTCCTAGTCATTGTGGACAGAATGGAACCACCACTGAGAGTGGGCAGTCATTGCTTGAGACTGCCCGGCAGTGCTGTCAAGTGTCAACTATTGTATTTCGTTTTCTTTTCTTATAATCAATGTACATCAGCGTAGTACTAAAGCAAACATTTATTAAGTTATGTGTTCAAATTTAATATTTATGATTTGAATCTTGCGAGTTATGATATTCAACTTACAATTCAAGTTAATTTAATTCTTCAATGCTATGTTTTAGAAATTATTGCTTTTATTTACGTTATTTTATGCGCATTCATATTTATGATTATAATATAATATAATACATACTCCCTCTGTCCTACAAAAAACTTCCTACTTTATTTTTTTGGATCTCCCAATAAAACTTCCTACTCTATTTCCTTTCTAAGAATTAAACATGTGGCATGAAAAGCTTCTCTCTCATCTAAACAAGTTTCAAGCAATCATTTTTCAGTTTTCAACACTTTTCTTAAACTCTGTGAAGTCAAACAAGGAATTCCTTTACAGGACGGATGGAGTATTAGGATTTAGGCAGGATGCCACTTCTGAGATTTTAACACCACTCTGGTGTTCATTTCTGCCTGTATTTTCAATATTTATCCCTGTACTAAGAATTTTTCCCTTTTAAACAACAGGTGTGATGGAGATTTCTTTATTAAAAGTGCTTCTGAATAAAATCTCAAACTTCTTTGAGATATCATCTCTGGAAAACATAAATTCTTCACTGGTACTTAAGTATTACCGGAAGGCTGAAGACATACTGAAGATTTTAAAGCCATTTGTCAATGGCATTGTTGATTCTGAAATAGCTTCTGATGAACTATTCCATAAGGCGTTTGCTGGACTGTCCGATTCAATTGATCAACTAACCGAACTATTTGAGACATGGGAACCATTCAGCAGTAAAGTATATTTTGTATGTCATCAGATGATTTGCTTTTTATATAATGAGCAGTAAATTTTAAGATGTAAGACTATGTATACATATGTAACTTATGCTTCCTTTGTTCCCCTGCAATAAACCAATATCTGCCTTACGTAAACTAGTCAGAGTACAACTAATCTATGGATTTGAAACGCTGAACCCAATGTTAATGATACATAAACGTTAAATTGAAAGTGGTTTTATGCCATTGTATAAATGTGGTAAAGAACACATTTGTTTTAGTTTGTCTCATCTTATCTCACACTGTTTGTACTATTGGCTGCTGCATAAGGCCTTTTATTTTTAGCAATGCTGCTAAAGGGAATTATTTAAGCTACACAATATAAATTTAGCTGATTTTTTCTTTACATACAGATTTTGCTAGCGCAATCATTAATTGCAAAGGTTCAGAGTTGCAGCCTGGAAGTTCTTGAGCTACTTGTCTCTTCTGATTGTCCACATCCTACTGAAGCAAGCTTGACGTCTCTCGAGGTTGGCACCAAAAAGTTCCGTATTTTCATATCTCGCATTACATTTGTACCCCTGAACTAAGTTAAAATATTTGCCAATTCTTCTGTCACTCTACCCATTTATTAAAAAAATGGCACTCCTGAAATAGATGTCTTGCATTTGGCTTGCAGCAGTCTATGCTGAAAATCAAGTCTACGGATTATGAATTGCTTCCAGTATTAATTAGGAAAGCCATACAAGATCAAGTGGAAGGGTCTAGAGCTAGCTCAGATAGCATGACAAAAGTTGCAGATTGCCTGAGCTTAAAGTCAAACCAGGAGCTGCTAATTGAGCTAGTTGCACTTGAGAAGCTTAAGGAGAATGCGGAACAAACAGAAAAGAGTGAAGAAGTTGAATATATTGAGCACATGATTGCTCTTGTTGCTAATATGCATGATTCCCTCGTAATGATGAAACATTCTGAGAGCTGTACCTCTGTACCAATACCCCCTGATTTTTGTTGTCCTCTCTCCCTGGAGCTCATGAGGGACCCCGTGATTGTTTCATCTGGACAAACTTATGAGCGAGTGTTCATTCGAAATTGGATTGATCTTGGCCTCAATGTCTGCCCTAAGACACGACAAACCCTGGCTCATACAAATCTTATTCCAAACTACACTGTTAAGGCACTGATTGCAAGTTGGTGTGAATCAAACAACGTAAAACTCTCTGATCCCGTGAATACTTTTAGCTTGGAATCTTGTGCACTCAGGGATAATAATATCTTTTCTCATTCAAGGGCTAATAATTCTACTTCACCTGATTCAACTCGCTCTTTCGGTTCCCCAAGGAAAAATTCAATCTCATCCCTTGCAATTCAATTAGAGACATCTCACCCACATCTGCATTCATCTTCAGAAGGAGAATCTTTAGCAGGAAGTGAAAGTAATAGATTGGATGTTGAGCGGATGTCTCTTGAGAGTTCTGAAGATGGAAGGACTGCGAACTTGGGAAAAAGGAGTGTAGACCCTGTTAGCCACTTTTCCATGCCACTCTCTATGAGTTGTTTGTCGTCAGCTCATGAAGATATCCACCACGGCCATAACCGAACTACCTCTGCACCTAGCATGTTGTCTGATTCAAATCCCACACATGCAACCACTGAGGATAGAAATGAGACGTCTTCACTTGACTGTGCTGCTGATACTCCAGTGGAGGTTGTTGCGTCAGATTCTACACCCCCTTCTTATACAAAGGCTGTTGGGACAAGGCTTTCCCCCCCATCATCAATGTGGCGAAGGTCATCTGAGACATTTGTTCCGAGAATAGTTTCTTCCCCTGCTGTTGGATCGAGGGCCGATATTGCTGAAGTGGAGGAGCAAGTTAAAAAGTTGGTTGAAAACTTGAAGAGCACTTCCATTGAATTGCAGAGGGAAGCCTCCGCTGAACTCCGGTTACTTGCCAAACATAATATGGACAATCGCATTGTCATTGCGAGTTGTGGTGCTATTAATATGTTGGTTGACTTACTGCATTCAGCAGACCAACAAGTGCAGGAAAATGCTGTTACTGCACTCCTTAATCTATCAATTAATGATAACAACAAGTCTGCAATTGCTAATGCTAATGCAATTGAGCCTCTGATTCATGTGCTTGAGACGGGGAGTGCCGAGGCTAAAGAAAACTCTGCCGCCACTCTTTTTAGCCTTTCTGTAATAGAGGACAACAAGATAAAGATTGGGAGTTCTGGAGCAATACAACCCCTTGTCGATTTATTGGGCAGCGGAACCCCTAGGGGCAAGAAAGACGCAGCCACAGCTTTGTTTAACTTGTCAATACATCCCGAAAACAAGATCCGTATAGTGCAGGCGGGTGCGGTGAAGTATCTCATTGACCTGATGGACCCCGCTGTCGGGATGGTTGATAAAGCCGTTGCTGTTCTGTCAAATCTGTCTACCATCCACGAGGGAAGAGTAGCTATTGGACAAGAACAAGGGATCCCCATTCTGGTTGAGGTTGTTGAATTGGGATCTGCAAGGGGTAAGGAGAATGCTGCTGCCGCTCTGCTGCAGCTATGCACAAACAGCGGTAGGCACTGCAATATGGTTCTCCAAGAAGGTGCCGTGCCTCCGTTAGTGGCTTTGTCACAATCTGGCACCCCCAGAGCAAGAGAAAAGGTTTGATGACTGAATAATTTGTATTGTTCCAATCTTTGTTATGGATTGAGTTAAAGAAACTAAGTATTGTTTTATTGCTGTTTGCAGGCTCAAGCACTTCTTAGCTACTTCAGAAGTCAACGCAACGCTGGCAGGAACTGATTTGCTTTGGACAACACACTGTATTTGAGGTAAGAGGTCATTGTGTGTATAGATCTCGCGTTAGAAATAATTGATCTAGATCCAACTTCATGTATCTTATTGTTTTAACTGTCAAAATGAAATGGATTATGACTCGAACACTAAAGCTTTCGCACACAATGATTATAACATGTAGGTTTTACCTTCTCTTCCATATTTGGTCTTTTGAATAATTGATCTAGATCCAACGCAACATGTATTATTTCTACATACCAAGGTTCACTCTTATATTTTGTTCAATGAAGTGATTTTTTTGAGCTTTAAACAACTATTTTTGCATATGATCTCCTCATTGTTGTATTTTTTCCATAGGGCATATACTCCATACGAATATGTAAACCTACTCGTGTACTACTCATATGGAATGGGTCTTTAATCACGCTAAATAGTACACGAAGTGTATATAGCACTTAAAATACACAAATACTGAAAATAAAATGCATGTCTCAAAACAACATTAAGTATTAAAATGTGTAAATTCCATGAATGGTCCTTCATAACATAGGGTTTTCCACATATAATCCTCAATTCTAAGACAATGTGTTCGTGGTCTTGTATATTTGAAAATTATTTCATAATCAATTATTTTGTCCAAATATTATTTTTCACATAGAGTTTACAAAGGATTGATCATGAAAAGATTTTCAAATATTGATGAGCAACAACCCAGTTGAATCTCACAAGAGTAGGGTCTGGGGAAGGTGTGTGCGCGCAGACTTTACCCCTAGTCGAAAGTAGAGAGGCGGTTTCCAAAGAGACTCCCGACTCAGTGTCGAAAGTTGCATTAATTGACTAACTGCGATTTCATTAAAAAACTACCGACCGTAATAATGGAAATCAGCCCGGTTTGCACTATGGCGGTACCCCTACCGTGGCCCTACCGCCTGTAGCGGGACCCCCTATCGTTACGGTACCTACCTACCGTTACAGGTACCGGACTCGTTGGGTTACCGTTCCTAATTGCTGAGTTTGAATTTAATCAACCCTAATACCTCCCAACGGGTAATTAACATCTTCCACTATAAATACAAGCCTAATCCTTCATCTTTCTGCATAAAACAAAGCTCCAAACATCCTCTCTTTATATTTTAAGTGTGTTCATTCTTTTATTCATTATTTTCAATATTGTGCCTACTTCAAGAGCCTTAATCTCCTGATTTTTATACACACACTTTTGTGCTTGTGTTTTAGACATACACTCTCATATTCATAAGTTTATATTTTATTTTTGAGAGAGTATATTTTGTTCTACACCGGCTAAGTTTTGTTCTTCATTTTTATATTCAAGCCGTTGTGTAGAACCTTTGGTTGTGTTCATCAAACACACATTTATACGGTCGAGAATAGCTGTTCAATTCTCACGTTATAACGGTCGAGGATAGCCGTATAAATCCTTGGGTAGAAGGTTCAAGGATAGCCTTGTAAATCCTTAGGGGGAACGGTCGAAGATAGTCGTGAAATCTTCATTGTAAACTGTTCGAGATAGCCGTTGTAAAATCTCGGAGTGAATTCTATTGGCAAGGGTTGTTTGCCAAACTAGTGTGGTGCTTTGACGGAGTTCAAGAGATCGGGACTTAGTAGATTCGGAAATCTTTAAGAAGGAGCCTTAAGGTACTGGAGTAGGGATTTCTCGAAACAGTATAAAATCAGTGTCTTTTACTTTACGCTTTTATTTCTGTGTTTTATTTATTGCTCCGCATTTGCCAACACCGTTTTTATTTAACTCCGAAAAGATTTTAAACGTCTTATTCACCCCCCTCTAAAGCGTGGGCACAACGACTAACAATGAGGTCATTCACAGTGTGATTTGTACGCATCATGTTCCTACTACAGAGCAGCTTACAGATATACATCTAAAGGTGTTGGGAAAATCACGTTTGGAGTTTCTTACTCCCAAGTTGGGCATTTTGCTTTTGCATGCTCCAACTTGAGGGTGTGGGTGTTAAAGAAAAGAATAAACTTCCGTATATATTATTCTGTATATGGTAATTTTCTGATTTATGTTAATTTCCTCTTTTTTGTATTTCTTCCTTTTTGTATTTGGTTTCCATATAGAGTTTCAAGCCTGTGAGATTCTATATATACAACCCTTGTTCATATTGTTAATACAAGAGAAAATTTCCCAAAACACTCTCCCAACAGTGATTCAAGAAATACTCATGCGTTTTTTTTTGGAAAAATTATCTTAAATAATCTCGTATTTTTACATTTTTGCAAAAATAATTCACTTTTCACTATCACTAGAAATAATACAACCTTTCTACATGTGTTTGAGTTTTGGGCCGCCATCAAAAAGCAAATGGCAACTAACATAATTTTTGGAAAATGCCCGTTTTTTGCAAATAAATGAAAAGTGAGAATATTTTAGGCAAATTTATTTTTTTCTCTTTTAAATTTTAATTTTAAAATTTATGTTTTAAAAAATATGACATTACACTCTTGTTAGAGATTTGTTTTGAAAAAAATAACACGATTAAAAAATTTTGTTTTATGTTTTGAGAGAAATATAATGTTGGATTATCGAAAAATAATTCAGAGTACCGCTCGAGAAAGAAATTGCAGTATACAAAAATTATAGTGAGTTATAAAATTAATTGGTGCAATTTTGGATAAAAAATATTGTGCCATTTTCATAACTTTTGAATTATTATTTTGGGGAAAAAATTTGTACTGAATTATCAAAAAATCACAATTTGGGAAGTTCCATTTTAGAAAAACAATACGGGTATCAATAAACATTTCGGGGCGTTGTTCATGAAAAAGTTACAATACAACAAAAAAAGTAGTGAGCTATAAAAATAAAAGTTTCATTCAAGAGAAAAAATTATTGTGTTATTTTCACAACTATTGTAATGTGTTTTTGCAATAAACATTTATTTAGAATTATCGAAAAATATTCTCAAGTTTTGTGGTATCATTTTTTAAAAATAATAATAGTATAGTATGAAAAAATAATTCAAAGTATCGCTCATGAAAAATAATTACAACTTACAAAAAAATGTAATGAGTTATGAAGTAAATAAATTAGCTCCATTGTAAAGAATAATTTGTACCATATTATCGATTATTGAAAATAATATTTAGTTTCACTCTAAAAATACACTTAAATTTGGTGGAGTGTTTATGAAAACATTTTTAAAAAATAAATTTAAATTTAATGTTAGAAATTAAAAAACGAAAAAAAGAAAATTTATCTAAAATAATCTATCTTTCATTTATTTGTGAAAAACATGCATTTTCCGAAAAATTGTTTAGTGACCGTTAGTTTTTTAACGGCTACCCAAAATTCGCACGCAAGCAGAAAGATGAGATTGTTTTCGGTGACAGTGAAAAATGAGATTATTTTTGAAAGAACACAAAAAGGTGAGATTATTTGAGATAATTTTCCTGTTTTTTTCACATACAAAGCAAAAAAAGAATTGAATATACTGATTGTGGGTCCTATTATATGTGCTTGGAAAAAATATTTTGTCCATCTAAAAATTATCTTCTCATTTATAAGATAAAATGTTATTCACTTTGTTTGCCTATTTTTGTTGATGATTTGATAAAAGAATATAAACATATTGTCTCTAGTTTTGTAGATGTTTTGATATAATTTTTTTATATGTAATTGGTCAAATTTTATTGGCATATTTTCGTTATCTATTTTATAAAACAATATTTTTTGTCACTACTAATTTTGTAGATCTTTTGATGCAATTTTTAATTTTTAGTTTCACACCAATTTTCACATAAAATATTTTAATAATAATTTCAGTCAAATATTGTATTGCATAATGAAAATATAATATTTGGACGAAGGGAATATGAAATAATTTGAAGAAAAAAAAAAGACTTCAATAAAAAAATATTTTAAAAAAATTACAGCGAAATGAGGACGTGAATGATTTTTAACCACACTTTGGAAGCTCTAAGGTGTACAGTGTACACTGTTCAATCTTAAATTATTGTCTTGATGGATACACATTTGACATTTCAGTGCTCCATTTTTTTTTTGAATCGTATCGGACTTCAAAATTCTCGCTCGCTTAGATCACTCCGTCGGCCGCCCCCAATTCTCCTGCGGGAAGATGGCCTCACTTACCCTCACCTCCGCCGTGCACAACCGTCTCCGGCCACTCCCCTGCAACAAGCCTCTTCAACACTCTGTTCGATCTCGAGACTTCAGCTACAAATCCCACGCATCTAATGTTTCGCTGAGGTCCTCGCTCAGGTTATCTCCCGGAATTCATATCCCCCGCCTTCCACACCACGTGGTGAAGGCGGCTGTATCCGGGCCAGGGGAGTTGGTCCCGGAGGCTCCGAAGATTCCGGAGGTCCAGCCTTGGCAGGGCGCCTCGATTCAGCCACTCATAGCTTCCATCGCCACAGGGATCCTTCTCTGGTTTGTTCCGCACCCAGCCGGCGTTTCACGCAATGCGTGGCAATTGCTGTCTATTTTCCTGGCCACCATTGTGGGAATCATTACCCAGCCTCTGCCTCTAGGGGCCGTGGCATTAATGGGCCTAGGCACTTGCGTGTTGACGAAAACTCTTCCATTTGCAGCGGCATTCTCAGCCTTTGGGGATCCCATACCCTGGCTAATTGCACTGGCGTTTTTCTTCGCTAGGGGATTCATTAAAACGGGGTTGGGGAATAGAATTGCATACCAGTTCGTGTCTTTGTTCGGAAGCTCTTCGTTAGGACTGGGTTACAGTTTGGTATTCAGCGAAGCACTTTTAGCCCCAGCGATTCCATCTGTTTCTGCAAGGGCCGGAGGAATTTTCTTGCCGCTGGTAAAATCTCTCTGTGTGGCTTGTGGCAGCAATGCAGGTGATGGGACGGAGGGGAAGTTGGGATCGTGGCTGATGTTAACTTGCTTCCAGACATCTGTGATTTCATCATCTATGTTCTTGACTGCAATGGCTGCTAACCCTTTGAGTGCCAATTTGACTGAGGCCACGATAGGTCACACCATTGGCTGGATGGATTGGGCTAAAGCTGCCATTGTGCCAGGTTTAGTGTCTTTGGTTGTAGTGCCGTTGCTGCTGTATATCATCTATCCACCAACAGTGAAGAGTAGCCCAGATGCACCTAAGCTTGCAAGGGAGAAATTGGAGAAGATGGGGCCAATGTCAAAGAATGAGATCGTTATGGCCGGAACCCTGCTACTCACGGTAAATCATTTTAATCTTGCCATCTTTTACTGATCTAGCCTAATGTAGAAAATTTATTTTGCCTTAAGGCGAAGAACATGATAAAAAGACTTTAACTTTATGAAGCCCAACACATTCAATTGACTATGCGAGTTCTGTGGACCTTATGCCATCAAACTCTCGCGCTTCATCTGATCCGTAAATGGTTTATTTGCTGATGTTAGGTGATATTGTCTGTCTTCATTGATGAGTCTGTTACCGAGTTGGTAAGACCCTGAGTGAAGGCTCTAATGTGTTTGCGTTTGTGTGCAAATGGAAGTGAGAATATTACTCCAACCATTTGGTGACAAGAGAACTAGACTTTACCTTTATAAAGCCTTGCACGCTTGATTCATTAAGGATACAACAGAGTTCCAATCTAACTGTAAAAATAATACCTAATTCTGAGAACTGGCGTTACTAATCTAAATATTATACTCCCTCCGTTTGGAAAAACCCTTCCCATTTGATTTGGGGGCAAAAATAAGGAAGTGTTAAATTATAGTTGATTTCCAATTTTGCCCCTGATGTGATGGGTAAAAGTAAGATGTGATGGATAGATTATTAGAGAAAAAGTATGATGTGATAGGTAGGGTATGAAAAAGTAAGGGTAAAAGTGGTTTTTTAATAGAAAGGGGAAGTGTTTTGTTGGAAGTGGAAAAAATGAAAGAGGAAGTGTTTTTAAGAACGGAGGGAGTATAAAATAAGTAATGTATGCAAGGTGGGCTCCTGCTATGTCTTCCTGCATTGAGTCTCACAAATGCTTCAACGTCATCATGAAGGTGGATTGATAATGTGGTATACTGGTATATGTTGTCTTTTTTCACGGAGTGCATGATGCTGTGAATACTTGGATGGCTCTCCTAAAAGCATCATTTTTCCAAACCAAATCCCCTAAATTGCAGAAGACTCAAATCCCAATCCCGGATGGTTGGTGTAGGTGTATAAAAATAAAATTAAAACCACCTGTCTAACCTGTGGAAGCACCCCCTCACATTCCCTTCTGATACTACCGATGAGGAAAAATGCATCCACCAAGCTGCCATTCTCAGTACTTGTGATGGGATCCATGATTTTTGTGCCATGTTATGCCTTTACATCAGGAATGTATCTTTATTACGATGAGTATTATGTGTGGAATTTGGGGCGTGGTATTGAACCTTGAAACTTCAAAGTAGTTTCAGTTCGTTTAACTTGTTATCTTGTCATGGGTGACTTCCCAACTTGTTATGTATAGTTTCTTTTGATGTTTTTTTGGAATTTTGTTATTGGTATGCCCTTGAAATTAGCTCAGTTGTCCTTGATGTTATCTTCAAACTTCAAGGTAACTAAATAGTGATCTTTTGTTTGTAAACAATAACAAATAAGCCTTGACCTGAGTACTTTGCGGTCAAAACATGACCGAAGAGGATAATCATGTTTGGTCATTAACTAATATTCAAATAAAACAAATCACTCCTTAACACCACCTTCCATGTCTTTCTCGATCTCCCTCTTTGTCTTTCTCTAAATTTGTTGTCTCACTTTATCTTCAATAAATGCTACTTCCACCTATTGGATGATCTCTGTTATTATTCCATCCATCCCAGTATGCCCACGCATGAATCTTAACATCCGTATTTCAGCTATCTTCATTTTCATTAAATATAACACACTTTTAAATATAACACACTTTTAACAATCCAGCATTCTATGACATATTATAGTGTGGTTGAATCTTTGTTTTTTTTAACATTCCTTTTATCGTCAATGGTATGCCATGGCCACAAAGAATTCGAGTTGCATTCCTCCACTTCAAGCAACATGCCTTTACTTGATATTCAACATCTTCTTTTTGTAAAATAAAATCTAAACATCTAAAACAGTTGTCAACTAGGATATGTTGGCCATCTAAAATCTCAAAACTCTGATCTCTATTTTTGCAGTTTTTAATTTTGTATTTTTGTACTCCATATATTCTGTTTTACTTCTATCAAGCCTATAACATAGAGACTCTAGCATCTTCCTCCACATTTCTTACTTCTCATTAACTCATAGTCTAGTCTCATCTATCAAGAAAAATATCATCAACAAACAATGCACACCAAGTTAAATCATCTTCTATAGTCTTAGTCAATTCTTCATCCATAACCATCTTCAAAAAGAAAAAAAAAAACTAGTCTTAATGCAGATCTTTGATGTTCTCCTATAGTAATAGTAAACTCCCCAGTCATTTCCATAACTTTTTTACATTAGTTATCACTCCATCGTACTTATCCTTTGTTATACTTAAATATACTATATTCAGAAAACCCCTTTTTCATCAACATGCACCATAATATGTCTCCTGGTACTCTGTGATGTGTTTTCTCTAAATCAATGCATGCTATGTACATGCGGACATGCCCCTTCTTCTATGTGTCCTGCTTCATTAGTTGCTTAATAAGATGAATTTTATCACGGCTTGTATGTCGTGGCTTAAACCAAATTGGTTATTTCAAACCTTTACAATCCTTCTCAATCTCCATTCAATTACCTTCTATTATTATTATTATTATTTGATAGCATGACTAATGAGCTTAATTCTGCAGTAGTTTGAGCAACACTGAACATTGCGTTTATTATTGTATGGAGGAATCAAAATAGTTCTTCTTCATTCTATCAACGTCTTATTTAATATTCACTCTGAGAATCTTTTTAGAGAGCATTGTTAACCATTCAATACCTATTTCTCTAAACAAAAATTCCAAACCTCTATCCGTATGTCATGTGGTCCTAATTTTTTTCCCCATTTTAAATTCCTTATCCCCCCCAAATCCCCAATGACCAAAAAGATCTCCAAGATTGAGTATTCTTATGAAACAGCTCGACAAACTATGACCTCCATCTTTCCATTATTATGGGGCTGGTTGTTATTCTTGTTGTAGATCTTTCCTTGACAACTCTCATCTTCGCTTTCTTTCTTGCAGTGTTGTACTTCTCAGAATCCTCCTTTCAACATTTTATTCAAATTTTGTAACATTCTTTTTTGTTCTTCACTTCTTCACAAATCACAACTTCTTGAACATAAGCATTCCTCACTGATGATATTGGAAATTTCCTCTTGTTACGCAAAGTTTTTTCTTTGCCATCTTTGTGATACCATATGAGATCTTCTCCAACATAGATTCTGTATACAATTTAGTAGTCCAGTTCCTGTTGAAGCACCTAAACAACAAAAAATTCCTTCTCTTGCTAACATTTCCCTTTGATACACAACCACCAAATAATTAAATCAAGTAGCTCATTCATCCTTTTAACATCTTTCCTAAAATAGAAATCAAGCACTCACAATTTGTGTTGTGTGAGAACACTTTTTCCCTAGATAACCTTATAATGAGTAAAAAATCTTTTTCTGACACTTTGTATACAACATTATTTAATAGAAGCATTTTGCCAAATTGTTTTTCATATTAACGTCGGGCAGAATTTTTTTAATGTTATGTAAGATGGCTCAAATCATATTAATGCTTAGGCACATAGTTTAGAAATTAAATTAAATCTACTATTGACTTTGGAGACTTCTCAATCCTACCTAAAACCATAAGCTTGATTTCGCATAGTACAACGACAACAACAACTACAACCGAGTCAGACCTTAGTCATACCTGAAAGTAGGGTCTTGGGAGGGTGTGTGGGCGCAGACCTTAGTCATACCTGAAAGTAGAGAGATTTTGTTCAATAGACCCCGGATCAAACAATATAGAGAGCACAAAGTCACTGAAGACACAAAGACACATAAAGCAGAGGAAGCACAAAGCACAAAAAGCCAAGACAACTAATATTAATGAGAGAAAGGCATAGCAAGTAGAAAGCACCAAACATAGAAAGCACAAAACAAAGATTGAGAAAACTACCTACCACCCAATCCAAGATGCCTACTCAACTACCCTATCTTTATCTCCCCAAATGTTCCTATTTTCCATTGTATTTAGTGTAATTACTGCAAAAAATGATACACACACACCCACTAACATACCGTACCATACCTCCTCTCACATGTGGGTGGCTTCCACCTAGGAAGGACCCACACGCAAGTGAGAGGGGTGTAGTAGGGTGTTTGCCGGAATTTGTATGCATCAATGTTCCTACTAGAGATGTGTGGTAGTTGACATTTAATGATTAGTTCATACTCCATACTGTGTAGAAGCCTTGTCATGATATCCATGTCTAGGGGATTGTTGATATGTCTACCATACAATCTAATATCTACGTGTATGCTTCCTATGTTATAAAATAGATGCAAGAGTCAAAGTTTTACACAATTTACACAATCTCATTTGACCATGTTTTGTGATCAATACACAAGGAATAATAAAGTTATGTGGGGTCTTGTTAGATTCGTCTTGATATGTACTTCCATAATATTATTATATGAAAACAAAATTGAATATAGTAATGATTTAATTTGCGCATTGGCAAGTATGCAAGTTTTAATACTTAAATGATTTTAGAACGTAGGAAGTATCTGGCTTGATGAAATATCAAGAGGCTAATATTTCATTTGGATTGGTGATTGATCATTGATGTACTATACAGCCGATCTTTTGTTAATAATAATTTCCATTTAAGATCCTTAAACTTCAGATTGGAAACTTTACTTTTGTTATCTTTGAATATCTTTCACCCTGTTAATAATCCTTCTATCCCCAAAACAAGTTCTCATTCGATTTATAATGGTTGACTAAATTTATTTACAGTTCACTTTATTTGAGGATTGGTGTAAAATTAAAGAAAATATTTTTTTTACACTTACCAAATTTGTTTATGACAAAACAAATAATACGCGTTCATGGAGGACTACACCAGTGCCCCCGAGCGTAAATACAAGAGAGAAGGAAAGTAACTAGAAAAGAAAAGGGAGAAATTTACAAAAGATCCTCAAATACTCTATTTCCTCCATCTTCATGCTTCAGGTGAACCCTTTTCTCTTGCTGAAAGAAAATAAAAAGTATATATTTAAAAATGTATCAAAATTTCTACACAACAAGTGGTGACTTGACTATTCTTTTATGAGATGAATAATGAAAATATGCAAAGAAAATAGATAGTTTGACTTTGTGAATAGTATATGGGAACTTGTTTTTGGGGATGGAGGGATTACATATTATTTTAGCACCATGAAGCTCAAATTTTGATTGATTTGCACCTCTTATAGACACATTTTAAATTCATGTTTTGTAAATTAACTTTTGTCCTTGTGTTTTATCAGGTGGGGCTGTGGGTTTTTGGTAGTATGCTAAAAGTTGATGCTGTAACTGCAGCAATTCTTGGTTTATCTGTCCTTCTTGTGACTGGAGTTGTCACTTGGAAGGAATGCTTAGCTGAATCAGTTGCGTGGGATACTCTGACTTGGTTTGCTGCCCTCATCGCAATGGCTGGTTATCTGAATAAATATGGCCTTATCTCCTGGTTTAGTGAGACAGTTGTTAAGGTTAGGGTTTTCTGGTTTCTTCTTACTACAACTACTACGATCTTGTATCATATTCTGGCATCCTGCTATTCCTGTAAATTCTGAATTTTAAATGATGCTATTTTCCCTATTCTCATTTGTTTAATATCATTCAAAATTGCTATCTGTTTTACAGCTCCACATGTGTTTGCACTGCATATGTTTGAGTTTATCTTTGAAACATCTTGGATCAACTTCAGACTTTTAATGAATTATGGACCATCATGTTTGACCTTTTTGATTTGATATTCTGAGGTTTAATTTGATGATGCATTAGGTCAATTTTACCAAGAAATCTCTTGACAGTGACGGACAGAAGCACATAATTATAATAATCATTCATATCATCTTAGTTTACAAATCTAGTTCAATCAACTTTGCAAAATTTAAGCACCTGTTAGATTTAATACGTTTTTTTCTCTCAGCTCATGCATTATTCCATGAAGCTCCGTGGGATATGAACACCGAGTAAATCCAATCCCTTTCTCTTTTGCAGGTTGTTGGCGGGTTAGGTCTTTCATGGCAGCTGTCATTTGGCATTTTAGTTCTTCTCTACTTTTACTCGCACTATTTCTTTGCCAGCGGAGCTGCTCATATTGGAGCCATGTTCACAGCATTCCTATCTGTGGCCAGTGCTCTCGGAACTCCACCATATCTGGGAGCCTTGGTACTCTCATTCCTCTCCAACCTCATGGGTGGGATCACACACTATGGGATTGGATCGGCACCTGTGTTCTATGGTGCAAACTACGTTCCTCTTGCAAAGTGGTGGGGCTATGGATTCTTGATCTCAGTTGTTAATATCGTCATTTGGCTCGGAGTTGGAGGGATTTGGTGGAAGGCCATTGGATTGTGGTAGTGCTAGCTCCCTAGTTTGTTGGTCGTTCAAGATTTACGGCGTTTTGTTGTTCATCAGTTGTGTGTTTTTTTCTTTTTCATTATTTACCTTAGGAATAATAGCCGAATGAAGGATGCACACCGTTTGATCCATTTGTAGTTCAAGTCTAGACTTGTATGCTTATAGAATTGATTTTTGAACATAGAACATGAAACTGGAATGAGTTTCATGTTCTTGATTTAATGATATTCTGCCATTCTTATTGTATTTTGTTTTTTTACGATTTTGTCATGTTATTGATTTTACTATCTTTTATTCCACTATATTTGTAATTTGCTTACCACGATGTTCGTTCATAAGTTACTACTTTCCTGGTTGGAATGTCTCAACTAAAGTTTTTATTTTAAAAGATTATAATTGTGTGGTCTATATGGTTTTTTTCCTAGGTGATCAAAGGGTTTCCAGTTTTTAACTAAAAACGTCAAAACATGAAGGAATTTATGCAATGGAGGGTTACATAACAATGAAAAGTGATATTTATACTCTTATAAATAAACTCTAAAAAATTTTCCATTACCTATGACTAAAATATCCTCTTTTATCACATCTCATTTACTAAAACGAGAATAAAATTTCATAAAGGGTCGTTATTGTTAACCTCGTGCTTTGTGCGAGCTTGTATACCCATATTCTAAACCTTTTCAAACTAAAAGTTTTAGTTTAAGTATTCATGTTTATGCATTAAATTTTTTAATAAATCTTTGTTTTTGAAAAGTAACAACTAAAGAATGATGAATAGTTTTTAAAATATTATACAAAGCTTTATTTCTTACGGAGTAAAAAATTACTAGAGTTTATAAAACCTTTTTCTTTAAATATAAAACCAATTTATGTACTCGTATTAAAAATATGTGTGTAAAAATGGTGAAATGAAGAGTTTAAAATAGACGGTGGAGGTTGTGACATCCCAGCATTACTCCCTATTAGACATGTTAGGGATAACATGAAAGTAAATAATAATTGTATCAAAGAATACCAGGAAAAACAAACCAAAAAAGAGTAAAAAATAGTCAAGAATGGGACAAAGGAACTGTTGTTATTCTTCAGTGTCACAAGTTAGATAGTTCCATTTTAGAAAAAAATAATATAGGTAATAGAAGATTATCAATAAATATTTTGAAGTGTTGTTCATGAAAAAATTGCAATACAACAAAAAATGTAGTGAGTTATAAAAATAAAAGTTCCATTTCAGAGAAAAAATTATTATGTTATTTTCAAAACTATTGTAATGTTGTTTTGAAAAACATATTTATATAGAATTATCAAAAAAAATTCACAAGTTCTATAGTGCCATTTTTTCAGAAATAATAATGATATAGTATCAAAAAACAATTTGAAGTGCAACTCAAGAAAAATAATTGCAACTTATAGAAAAACTATAGTAAGTTATGAAGTAAATAAATTAGCTCAACTGTGTTGAATAATTTATTGTTTACTTATTACCAGATTATCGAATATTCAAAAAAATAATTAATTTCACTCTAAAAACACTAAAATATGGTATTATCTATATAAAGAATTTAAAAAATACATTTAAATGTAAAGTTAGAAATTAAAAAAATAAAAAAATGAGAATTTACATAAAATAATTTCACCTTTTATTTATTTGCGAAAATAGACGTTTTTTAAAAAATTTCATTATATGACCATTAGTTTTTTTAACAGCGGCCCAAAACTCGCACGCATGCGGAAAGAAGAGATTATTTTCGATGACAGTGAAAAGTGAAATTATTTTTTAAAGACCGCGAAAAGATGAGATTATTTGAGTTAATTCTTCCTTTCTCTAAAAATAGTTTATTTACAAATTCGCATTGGAATAAAGTGTACAGACTTCAAAAACTATTGTAAATTGTACGAAAAAACTATATTAAATATTCTACAAAACATAATGTGACAAGAATTTATTATTTGTATATCATATCCAATAATCAATGAAAATGCGCAAACAAAAATTATCAAGAGACTATAATATTAACAGTATAAATTATTTTGGTACACATAAAATTTAATTTTCTTCCCGTGCAACGCGCCGGTTGGAATCTAGTTGGGGATAATAGAAAAGTAAAGGACAAATCCCCCCCCCCAAAGTCACAAAAATAGAGAAGAAGAATTAGACAAAGGAACTGCTGATATCCTCAGTCTGGTATACTTATTACGGCGGACAGGGTCAAACATTGAAGCCCTCAGCACGAAGGCATATCCGATGAGCCTCTATCCATTTCTGGCAAGCAGATTCGCCGTGCTCCACGATGCATTCATCCCTCAGCTTCTTAGTTTCAGGGCAAGCACAACATATCTTCTTTTTTGGCTTAGAATCAGACACCACAGCTGTTGCAGCACTTTGATCTTTAGGTGATTGCTTTATGCCTATTGCGCATGATGATGACGGTGTGCTCTCTATAGGCAGTCCCGCCATTGTGAAAAATAACCTGTATGATATTTCAGAAAGAAAAAAATGTGAGTGCGAGTTCAGGCAATGCTATAATTCCATCGGCATTCACATTTGGCAAAATGCATAAAGGAAAGGAAATGCAGAGCCATGAAATGCAATTAGTATACGTTTACTAATTGATATGCATGCACTTCACCCTTGTCTTGCACATAAAATTCTTTCATGGGTGAGGCGAGGCACTTGAATGAAATGAATCTATTGCAAAATAGAACTGAATTTGAGACTGAGTTTTTATACCTATCTAATGGGGCCGAGTACAAAAACTATAAATGCAATTCCATGTTTCATTTGCCTAGATATTAAATCTTTCATTTCAAATATACCAAAAAATAGTCATAAACAAATTACGAGAATGCAACAAAGGAGTCTAAATATGAAAAACATAGTTAAATCAATTATTGCTATATCACCATCCATTGCAATTTAATGCCAGAACAACAAGCAAATAAACTAAGAAGAACTAATAGATGTCAAAAAAAAAAAGCAATGAAGGAATGCTTTTATAAAGGTGGTTGGAGAGAAATCCTGGAGGTGCCAAAAGAAACAGTTAAAGCTAAGTATTTATATGAATGTGATTAGGGATGACAAAAGGTCGGGATAGGTTCAAGTTTCTGTACCTCCAAACCTGACCCGACTTAATTCGGGTTAGGATTTAATTTAAGCGAGTCAGGTTCAGATACTTTTTCATGGTTCAAATTCGAATTCTGGTCGGGCTAATTGGGTAAAGGTCAGATTCGGGTTGAATGGTCATCCCTGAATTATGGAGTTGATAATGGAAGATGGGAGGAATTGCAAAAGATGGAGGTGCGACATGCAAACTACTCCCTCCGTCTCGCTATTTTCGTCCACTTTTGTTTTGGCTCTTGGACCAAGAAGAATGGATTAGGGGAGAGAAATGACTAATATACCCTTGCCTTTAAAAAGTGATAGTAAGACGCTAATAGCTATACGGAATCCCTAGTTCCCTTTGAATGCTTCAAGATCTTTCCTGTGTTTTTTAAACAAGAAATTTCCTTTCTTACAGTTATTCTTCATGTTTTAAATCAAGAATAAAATTCAATCTTTTTCAGAGTTCGACACAAAATAGGGGGGGGGGGAAGTTACTCATAATTTGTAATGCTTTAAAGAGTACTCAATTCATAAGAAATTGAGGAATTTACTTAAATAGCACTAAAACATAATGACTTTCCCTAAATAGCATCATATGTTTTTATTTCTCAATGTAGTTCTTTTAGTCATTATCTATTAGTCATTATTCAAGTAAATGTTTACCATCACTGGACATTATTCCTCCTCCTAGACATTATTAAGTGATATTTAGGGAATAAAAAAGTTTATGTCCTACATTGGGAAATGACTTATGCTTTAGTGCTATTTAGTGCAAATATTTCTAAGAAATTTTGACAAAAAACATAGATCCACCGCCATTGGAAGAGCATCCAACTCTTCAGACTCAGGCACGCAGTGGATTCCGGTATCATCACCGGAATCAGAGTCAGGGATTGTAGAGATCTGTCCTCAAACTGAACCACGAATTAGATTTCGTCATCATTGTCTTCATCGGTGTCCGGAAGCGGGTAGAGGTCTATCCTCAGATTCAGACACGACTTGGACTTCATCATTGCCGTGAGCAGACGCATGCTTGGAGTGCGACTGGTCGGTTGTAGGGACCGCCACTTCCACTCTGACCAGATCAAATCTGAAGTTCTGGAAGAAGAGAAATTGAAATCTGTATATCCATTAGGATTTACAGCCTCGAATGTAAGGATATGAGAGAAATGAGATGGTAGAACCATAGATAGAGGGAAGATAACGAGTAAAAGGCAACGTAGAGAGATAGTAAAAGGAGGTGGGTGGATAGGATGAATGGAGGGTAAAATGGACAATTAAAACACTTTAATCCTACCAAATATAGAAAGTGGATGAATAACCAAAAAGGAAACCAGACGAAAACACTGGGACGGAGGGAGTACAGAATTGAGAGTCTAAGAGACGTGAGAGATGAGATTGAAAAAGACCTGAGAGACGTGAGATTGTCATGAGAGAAAACATTAGGTTTGGGTTTGAATACTTTTCTTCGGTTCAGATTTGGATACTTTAAGGTCAAGTCTAATCAACTAAGGTCAGATTTAAGTTGAATTGACATAAGATATCTAACTTGCTAGAACCAAAAAATAGATCATATGCCCGAAATAGGACTTCTATGTTTTTATCTATCCTTATATAATAAGGAACTAAAATGTTAATGCCGTCCTTTTTCCGTCTACTTTTCCCTTTCGGTTAAGAGCTTTCTTTCTACTGGGATGAGTGATAGGGAGACATGTGGAGTTCTTTTCTCCACAAAAATATCTCTGCTACTCTCCCCCAAAAATATCTCCACCGCCCCAGTTTTGACAATTGACGAGTCCAATTTTCAACGCTGCTCCTATCTTCAAGTTTTTATTTAAACGAGAGTATGGTAATTTTCATCGCTACTCCTATTTTCGTTGCTTTGTTGCACTTATCATGCTACTTCGATGCTTCTATTTATTGGTTCCTAGAACGGTTAGTCATGAATTTGTCTTCCTATTTTTTATCTATTCTTGATTATTTATTTCTCAAATTTTAGAATTATCATTATTGGTGTTTTGAAATTGTTTTTTTTCAATTGAGGAGTTTCAAATAGAGTTAGACTCAAGCATCAATTTTATTTTCAAATAGGGCTATAGTTAAGCTTCAATTTTACCCTCTGGTTGTTTTTGGAGAAACCATTCTCATGATCTTACTTCAGTTCACTTAGTTTCATGTCCTTGGTATATTAGGTCTATGATTTTTTGTTTTAAAATAAATGTTTTTTTTAATTTTAACTTTGGTAAATTTCATGTAGCGATGTACAGAGGTTACAGTTTAGAATTTATTTTAAGAATCTACTCAACATGTACTATATTATAGGGTTCTCCATAGAATTCAATTATGATATTCACACATTTTGTTATAGATTCTTGGTTGAAGCTCCTGGTTATTTTTGTTTGGTGTGATTATATAGCATTCATATACTTTCCAAGGAATGCATACTGGGATTTGATCTTTTTTCGATTCATTTGTAATTAAAACATTAACTTCAGTCTTTTTTGGTACTAAGCATATTACATCGGTTTGCTTTGATTTTTTTAAAGCTAGGTTTTTAATTCATACCCTAATGGTATAAAACAACTGAAACAAGTCCAATTCATATCATATCCTAATATGTGCCTCAATTAAAAACCTAATGAACATATGAAATGCTTGAAAGTTGAAAGTCTTGACAAATTGTTTTGATCTTTCTTAAATTGGTATTACACTCGGGATTTCTGTTCAGTTTAATATCTGCTCAAATGTGTCTTGTGTTTATTACTTGAGCTGAGAATTGAATGCTGAATTCTACCTAGAGTGATATTTCTCCATATATGTTGGGACGGAGGCTCAAGTATTTCATGAAAAAACGAAAAAGAACATGAAAAAACGAAAGGTAAAACATGAAAAAAGAACATGAAAAAAAATGCTAAAAACGAAAAAGAATATGAAAAATAACACGAAAAAAAAAATTAAACGGAAAAAAAACGAAAAAGAACATGAAAAAAGAAGGTTTCAATAATTGACAAAAAACAGGAAAATAAAACCGTAACTGAAATCCGCCGGAGGAGAGAATGAAGTCTTGTGTTGGAGTTGCGGCGCTGCGGATGGGAGACCTGCGGCTGGAGAGCTGCGGCACGAAGAAGATAGGAGATCAGACACCTGCGGCTGCGGCTGGAGTGCTGGACCGTAGAAGAAAGAAGGAAAAATAACCCTACCTCCACCTCCCTCCATCCAAACACAAGTTGTACACAAAAAAAATCAGTGCAAATTTTTTAAGTGAATTAACATTTTATATCAATGTGAATCATTAAAATGTCTGTACATTTCTTTAGGGTACAATTTGGGGTACATTAAAGATGTACCCCTAGCATGATTTTTTAATAAATGCACAAAGATAACATAAAAAACAACACACTTAATATATTAATATAAAAACAAAATCAACCATGCTAGAGTACACCAAAAGTGTACCCCAAGTTGTACCCAGAGAAATGCAGTGACATTTTAACAATTTACACTGGCAGAAAATGTTTGTTCAATTAAAAAAATTTGCACTAACACTTTTTGTCAATATAATTCTTCACACTAACATCACACTAGTACAAAATGGGCCCCTTACAATTAACCCTAGATTTTAAATCCAAAGAATGATTTAATGGTTTCATATAATTAACCCTAGATTTTAAATCTAAAGAATGAAACAATGAAAGAAAGAAAATTAGAAAAAAAATTACTAAATTGGAAATATAGTGAATACGGAACACCTGGAGGGTGCAGCGGCGTCTGGAGGAAGTGGCGGCGGCGTCTCTCTACCGGCGGCGTTCTCAGCAGTCGGCACTCTCTTTCCGATTCGGTTTGAGCAGTAGGCTTCGTCTCCAGCTTCTGCGCCTCGCGTTAGTTGTCTACGAAGTAGGAACTAGGAAGGGATGGGCGGCTAATGAGATGGCCTTTTGACATATTGGGCTGGGTGCTGGGCTTCTTATATACATACATATAATATTAAAAAAATAATTGGGCCCCTTAGAATCATGGGCCTGGTCCGGACGGACTGTTTGTTCCCCTATTGGGCCGGCCCTGAAAATTACAAACATACTCCCTCCATTCGAGAGTATTTGTTCAGTTTGACTTTTTCGTATCAAAGTGGATAAACTTTAATCATCTATTACTCTCAATTTGTACTGCATAATAATACTCCCTTCGTACCCAATTTGATTACAAATTGGGATTTACGAGGAAGATTATCTCACTTTTTTAAATTATTTTATTTACAAATCGGTATATCAATAAGAAATACAAATTACTCCCTCCGCCCGGATTTAAAGTTCTCATTTTGACTTTTGGTCATTTTTATAGGAAGTTGACTCTGCTTACAATTTGTCCAAAATACCCCTAGGGCTTTTCATTTACCGCACACCCCTGAAGCCAAATCCTTCCCAGCAACTGGTCTAGGGCTGCCGCAGCTACTGATCGATGGCCGCACCAAACAAATCCCAAGCGACGGAACTCTTTGCCGCACCAAATCGACGGATCTCTCTCTTTCTCTACTGAGCAAACCAGACCCAAGGTGAATCTCTTGCCGCACAAATGGATCTCCAAATTTTCTAGATCTGAAAAAAACATAAACGAGATCCAAACTCTGGTAGAAGAAGAGAATGGCAAAAATAAGAAAAATAAGGGGGGAAGAGAGGGGGGAGATGAAGGCTAGATCTAAGTAAGAAAAGAAAAGGAAGAAGAAGATTAGAAGAAGAAGAAGAAGAAGAAGAAGAAGGATGAAGGAAAAGGGGGAGGAAGTTAAGAAAAGGAAGGGGGAGGAGAAGAGAGATAGAAAGAATACCTGGTGTGGTGGAGAAGACACTGCCGAGAGAAAGGAAAAGGAAAATGAGAAAGGGGGGAAGGAAGATAAGGGGTATTTTAGGAAGATTAGGTATCAAAACGTATAATGGGAACTTCCTTTCCGGACGGAGAAAAGCGTAGAATGGGAACTTTAATTCCGGACGGAGGGAGTATATATTAAAAAACTACGTCAAAAGTTCTAAAAAAACAAGAGGTGACAAGAATATTTTATTTTATCAAATACTTGATGAAATCGCATAAATAAACAAAAATTATCGAGAGGAGAGAAAAAAAATTGTAATTAAAATGGGGACAAAGGGCGTATAATGGAATAAATTTTTGAAAGTTCTAACCAGGTTAAATACATTGAGATTATATTTATGCTAATATACATCATAATTTTTACTTAATTAATGCTCAAAGTTTATCCAGATTTACTCTAAAAAATCACACTCGACGAATACTTTGGGACGGAGGTAGTATAATTTAATGCTAGAAATCATTGTGGTGCGTCAAAATAATTACACAAAAATGGCATGGGACTAATGACATTAATTTTACATTATAAATTACTGAGTTCACGTAGATTATATTTTTTCTCTACTTTTGTAATAAAAGAATGATTTAGATAAGACAGAGATACTAAACTTTTTTTTCAAAAAAATAATTGAATAACTATATTATTTTTAAAAAATACCTCAAATAAAGGTGAGAGACAACAATTACGAGTTACAAAAAATATTTTATGTACATTTATGATGAGTTACATAATTCTTAAACAAAGAAAACAGAGTAGACAACTAAAAACTTTGCAATTGACTCTTAAGCTTGAGGGTTGATTTTGACAATAATAAACAAAAAGGAATAGGGAAAAGGTACAAAGTCACTAGAGTGTAACGATTCGTTTCAAATGAGTTGAACGTAGTTAAAAAACTCATTTGAAGAGGTACGACCAAAGGTAGTCCCTCGAAGAGGGGAGTTGCTAGAGAGATTCGTTTCCCTATGTGAAACTCATTGTAAGGATCCGTTGAACTATGTTCAACTCATTCGAATAGGTACGACCAAAGGGAGTCCCTCGAGCAACGGGAGTTGCTCGAAGAGGGAGTCACTCGACCAAAGGGAATGTGATACCGAACGGTTATTGTGTGTCACCATGTACTTCCACTTTTCAAATGAGTAAGGTAAAGCCACCGTGTTTGCTTTCTCTTAACCGGGTTCGCACTCACCTCTCCTACGTAGATGCTTCGGACCCAGTTATTCCTCTCCGCGGCTGAGTCTCCACCCTCCAGTCCACCAAAAATCATCCCAATGTGTTCTTTATCTGGAGCCGGCCTCCGCTCTTTATTCCGATCATTTCCTCTCCGGTTTCCGTTCCTGTCCTCTTTCTGAGCTTCCGGCCTCACCCACGGGTGGTTCTTCTCTTGGGCCTTCTGCAGGTATTCCTTACCCAGTTCTCCACTCTCAATCATTTGCCGGACAACTCCTCTGACACTTTTGCATTCTGAAGTGTTGTGAGAGTCAGACTTATGGTACGAACAATTCTTGTCCGCCCAATGGCGTCCCGCATTACCGGCAGGAATGACCGGTGCCTTCCGGACCTCATGACATTCTTCCGACTTTACCAAGTGTATGACCGGGTCATAGTGGGGTCTGGGCTTGCTAAGCCCGGGAGCGTCTTACTTCTTCACCTGCACCGGTTTAGGCTTATGACTGTGCTCAGCCTCCTTCTTTGCCCGGTTTTAGGTTTCAGCTTCGGCGAATTCCCAAGCCGTGTGATAGGCCTCTTGGTATGTGGCAGGGGGTCTCCGACAAAACGCTTTGTATAGTTCCCCGACTTGAAGGCCATTCAGCAAAAGAGACAAGATCGTCTTGTCATCCATTTCCTCGATCTTGTCCACCTCATCCTTCCACCGGGTAAGAAACTGAGTGAGGTTCTCAGATTTCCTCTACCCGGCTGTACTTAGGTACGTGAACTTCTTCTTCTTTGTATAGTTCTCCTAGAACTTGCCCTTAAATTTCGAGGCCAATTCGGCGAACGAGTCAATGCTTCCCGGGCGAAGCTTATTGAACAACTCTGTGGCCCGGCCTTGCAGGGTTTGGAAGAAAAGAAGGTATTTCTCCTCATCGGTGCACCCCATCATGGTCGCACTCTGGTTGAAGGAATGCAAGTGAATCTCGAGATCCTCCTTTCCTGTGAACCTTTGTGCTTCCACATTTACCTTTCGTGGAAATGGTGTCAGGTGGACCTTTGCAGTGAACGGAGAATCTGCAAGGGGTTTCTCATTGTCATTCTTATCCTCCACTCTTCTTTCCAGTCTTTCTAGCTTCGCCTCCATTCGTTGGACGCGATCTCTCGGGTTTGCCAACCTACTCCTCACGGGCTCGCGTGGTTGGCTTTCAGCTTCTTCTTCTCGGTGCGAAACACGTGATTTTGCGGGTTCCAGACGGTTTGACTGGGCGCGTTGGGTACAGGCAGGCTCGGCCTCCCTCCCTTCGCCTAATCGGGAAAATGCGTTGACATGTGCCGTGCTTTTCCCCAATCTCAGCTTTGCTCATGTGTGCTGGCATTCCTCTCTCTCCCCCAGCCTTTCGAAGGCAGAGTCACAGGAGGTTGCCGGTCTCTAGGTCTTGCCCTTCTTCTTCTTGTGGGCTCTAGGGATGTCCCACTCTCTGTCATCGCTCTCAATCAAGATGTAATGACCGTCAGGGGTGCTCTGCGGATGCCGGGCGCTCTGGGAGGGTGCGATGACCCATCGACGTTCAGTGCACTGGTCAAATTGACAGGTGCCACAGCGCTTACCACCTGTGGCTGGAAAGGTGATCGCTGGGGAACCGATGTCTAAAAGGGAGACACTGCCATCGGGGTTTGCAGCAGTAATGTTCCAGCGCCTGGTAGGGCGAAAGGAAACATTCCCGGGAGGAATGGCATTCCTCCATTTTCTTGACACATGACCATGACCTGGCCAAAGCCTTGGATCGCCCGCAAGTTGGCTGGGTCATTCAGAAATTAGGTCATGCTTTAGGGAAACGTGACCCTTGGCCCGACAGATGGAACATGGATCGCAAATGAAGCGGGCATGGTCGGTGTTGAGATGGGGCTCAAACCCGTTGGCATCACAAAAGCAGAGTGAGCCGGTTGGGAAGTAACCATTGGCATGGTTATTCCTTTAGTGGTAGCTTGCACCGGGGCAGAGGTGGTGTTGTTCAACTGGTTTGAAGACATTTTCAGAGTGGTGGTTCGTGAGTAGGTTTGTGTTTGGATGAAAAAGAAACCTTAACGATCACACGGTCGGCGCCAAAAATGATGGTGTAAATTACTAACGGGGTAAACGGTACAAGACCGAGTCTAGGATTGCTTACTAGATTCAAGACAATGAAAAGGTAAAAACACGCAAAGTAATTAGGAGGACTGTAGGTGGAAACACATGTAGCCCAATTGTTAATTGAATATAGTAGAGGCACGATAGCTTTTACACAAGGGTTTTAGTGAGAGAAAAATCGGATCCCTTCCTTTGAGCGTTACACACGTATTTATAGTAATCAATGGGGGACAAGGCGCCACACACCCCCACGTTAGGTCACGTTCCTGGGTGGTGCGAGGTGATTGCTTCTGTCTTTTAGTGGCTTGTTCCATTCTTTTACTTCCCTGTCTTTTAGCTAGGAAGGTGAGTCCTTTGTCGGTAGCGTGTTGCACAGATTGTGTGAATATCCTCAATGATCTTTTGTTGAATTTGGCCGCTACAGTCCAACATCCCTTGGATTCTTTCATGCCGACACTTCCGAACTATAGAAATTTAGGTTTACGCGAGATGGATTTACGGGGATTGGGGATGATCAAAGAAGTCATGTAGTTTGACCGGTAAAGTACTCGGAGTGTACCTGTCAAACCTCTGTCGTCGACCGATATAAACTTTGGTCGTTTAGACTTCCCATTCTAGAAATTCATCGCTTTGACCGGTGGACATTTGTGGTCCCCCCCTTTGACCGGTACGGGGTGGAATACACCCATCACATACCATAGTAATGTCAAACCATTCCATAATACTTCGACGCTTTGAAAATATTTTTATTCATTATAAACAATCGACGTAATTAAAAATCAGTGCACAAATATTTTTATGCATTCTTATTCAACAAGTGTATTGTTTGATTACAATTTTTGACAAAACATAATTATAGTTTGATTTTCAACCAATAAAATAATAATTTGAGTTGTACTTTAAGTAACAAAGTAGTACAAAAAGATAAGTTTAACTATGTTAAAGTCACACCAAATAAATATGATATAAACGTACTAAAAAATAATAAATGAAAATATATAATTAATTTATATTTTTAATATTTTAGTCGTAACAATTCAATTCAGTATTTTCAGCATTTATTTTTTAAAGAACTCATCCCCTACTAATTTGAAAACGCTTCAATTTTCGGTTTGGGATATAATTTCTAGAACTATTTAAAAATTTACTTTTTAAATTGAATTAAATATTGGTTTGAATCAGAATAATATAGAGATGTATACAAATCAAATATTTTAAATTCGATTCGTGATTCATATTCGAATATAATGATTCGAATTCACATTATTTAAATACAAATTCAAATTCGAATGTTAAACAAATACAAATACAAATACAAATAAGAATATACGGAGTATTCGATTCGGATGATATTTGAATATTCGAATATATGTATATACAACAGACTATGTTTTCTAAATCAATAGTCAAGCAGACTAATATAGTATAAACGTATTTAAATTACTAAGAGTTTGACAAATTAACGTAACACAAAAATCAAAAGCATGTGATTTTTAATAGTTACTACCACCATCCCAGTGTATTTGTCAAATTTGACTTTTTTGAGTCAAACTGGACAAACTTTGAACTCCAATTACTCTCAATTTATATTGCATATTAGCATAAGGAAATACAATTTTGAAAGTTCTCAATACCATAAATCCAATAAAGTCATTTTTATGTTAAAATACATTACGATTTTTATTTAATTGAAGCTCAAAGTTTATCCAGTTTGACTCGAAAAAGTCAAACTGGACAAATACGCTGGGACGGAGGGAGTATATTTTATAAAATATAATTTGTGTAAGATGCAAATGTATTAATGATTTTAGATACGAAGTATAGTATGGTATAAGGAGTATCGTACGTTAAATTACAAATCGATGTTGGTCCATCATATAAATTACAGAGTATGATTATTCAAATATTCATTTAGGATTCGTTAAATATTCAAATATTAATCAAATACATATTTGATGGAGGACGACTCCAAAAGACACGTCAGCCGGGCCCCATCAGCCACGTGGAAGATCTTCTCTGCTCGGCCCATGAGCTCGGCTCGCCCTATGGGCTCGGCTCGGCCTGCGAGCTCGGCTGGGGACCGTGATAGCGACCGCCGGATAGCGACCAGCCACGTTGACTGCGCGACAGCGACGGGATGAAAGGGACAACGCATAATAGAGATGACGTCCGCTAGGCAACGAACCTCGATCAGAGAAACTTTGACTATGTGTATTGTATCCCCTATAAAAGGGGTGAGACCCCTCATTGTAATGGATCCAAGTTTAGAACGAATAAACTCCTACTTTGCATTCTCTCTCTCTAAAACTTATATTATTCTTTATTCTCGGTGGTTTATAGCCATCAAATTGGTGCTTTCATTGAGAGCGAGAGGAACATACTCGTAGGTTAACTCCCGGAAGCGAGAATGGTGCAAACAAGGAGCAACGTCCCTACCACAAGCCACGTCGGCGGCGAAGAGAACGCGCCGGGCAGCGGCAACGGCACAGGAGGCATCGGCTCGACTCCGGACGCGGTCTAGGCGCTGTTCGGCCTAGGGGTGACCACGGAGCAGCTTCAGGCGGCCGTTGCGGCACTTTCCGCCAGGGGTGAAACGTGCCCGGCGCCGGAGCTGGAAAAGCTCCGCCCGGTCCCCACGCCGAACACGCTGCCACTTCCCAGCTCAAGGGGAAGAAGACCTGGAGGAGCAGAAGGAGGCCCGGTAAGGCCCCGGCGATCGAGGAGGTGATTGTGGAGGACGTCCCGGAGGAGGAGGACGATGAGTCCAGTGAGTGCCGAGTGTCAGGCTTCAGACGCTTAGGAGGGGAAGAGACCCGGGTGTCGGCCTTAGACAGGCTCAACCGCGAATCGGAAGTCCGCCCGGGCGACCTCCGCCGACAAATAACCGAAGGCAAGCGGAGGCATGCTGAGGAGTCCGCGACATCAGATGCTCGCTCGGCGAGGCCCGAGCGGAGCGGAGAAAGGCGGGACGAGCGCACCCAGCGTCGCCATAGCCCGACGAGAACTAAGAAGACGAAGGTCTCTGACCAAGGGGTATCTCGGCTCGCTCGTGAGATTGCCGAGCTCAAGTGCCGAGTGGAGACCAGGGCTCCCTACAGCTAGCCCATCTTGCGAACGGTGACCCCGTTCACTCCGAGGGTCATGTCGATTCCACTACCGGCAAACTTTCGGCCGTGGCAGATCAAGGCCTACAACGGAACGACGGATCCCCAAGATCATTTGTCTAAGTTCTACGCTTCTATGGAAGCGGCGGCAGCCCCGGACGAGGTCAAGTGCCGATGTTTTCTCGCGACGTTGGAGGGCTCTGCGTGTGATTGGTTCAACCGGCTCCCGAAGGGAACCATTGACGACTGGGATACACTAGCGGAGAAGTTCTTAACACACTTTGCAGCCAACAGAAGGCAAAGGCTGCCCTACTCCCACCTGCTCAACATATACATCCGCAAAGGAGAGAAGCTCCGCGACTTCATAGTCCGGTGGGAGAAGGAGGCTAGGGACGTGCACGGGGCGGATGACCAAGCTCTGGTGGCCATGTTCCAAGCGGCCCTTCCCCGAGGGGAGGTGAGGAAGGAGCTCCGCAAGAACCCTCCCCCCACGTACCAAGAGACCTTGGCGCGCGCAAAGTTATTAGCCTCGGAGGAGTTCGACGACGCCCCAGACTCCGAGGCCGCGCCGGCAAAGCGAGCTCCAGCGGACTCGGGAGAGACCGCGAAGAAGAGGAAGAAGAAGAAAGACTATACCGCGGGCCCGAGGACGCCCTCGGCCAGAGTGTACTCCGTGGGCGCCCCCGTGGGGACGGGTCGAGAGCTTGCGCTCTCCCCGCTCCCTCACGTAGAGGCTTACGCGGTGACCAGCGGAGCCAAGTATTGCGAGTACCATCGTAACAACACTCATAACACTAAGGAATGCTTCACTCTTCAGAAGGAGATGCAGCGACTCATCGCCCGAGGGCCGCCTCCACGAGACGATGGGGCTACCCCCTCCCAGGGGCCGCCGGAAGGAAGAACTTGGAGGAAGCCGACTGAGCTAGTCGCAGTGGCGACGCAGGCACGGAACCCCGAGAAGAGGCACATCGGGCGGGTGTGCGACGATCTAGACGAAGACGAAGCCCAAGGATATCCGGTGGGATTTATCCATGGGGGAAACATTGGCGGGGACTCCGTCGCTCAAAGGAAGAGGTGGAAGCACATGGCCTTCGTCGCCAAAGTCCATCAGGCGCCGGCGCCCAAGCTCGGAAGACGAGAGCAAATCCAATTCACGGAGAAGGATCTTCCGAACACGCCGAGCCCCCATCGGGATGCCTTAGTCGTGAAGATAGAGATCAACGACGCCATAGTGCACCGCACCTTGGTGGACATGGGAAGCTCAGTCAACATAATGTATGAGAAAACATTCCAAGACCTCGGCTTGAACCGCAAGGACTTAAGGCCTGTGCGCACCCCTCTCTCCGGATTCACGAGGGACTCCATCGAGGCCGAGGGAGTCTTCGCCGTGCCCGTGATAGTAGGGGATGGTGCACACAAGGCCAAGCTGAAGATGGAGTTTATGGTTGTGAGCATCAACTGCGCGCACAACATGATTCTAGGAGGCCTCGAGGACTTGGAATGTGTGATCTCCCCGTACTACTTGTGCATGAAGTTCCCCACTCCGTCCGGGATCGGGGTGGCGAGGGGAGACCAGAAGTTAGCTCGATCGTGCTACATCCGAATCACGAAGAAGTTGCCAAGGGATGAGACGCTAGTCGTGCACGCGTAGGAGGAAATGCGCAAGCTGGAGGCTCAGCCGAAGGCCGAGCCCGCCGAGGAGGTCGAGGAAGTGCTGCTCGACCCGCAGATACCCGAGCGGAAGGTTAAGGTCGGGGCGAGCCTGATGACGAGCCAGCGGAGGCGCTTGGTGGACGTGCTCGCCGCCTACCGCGTGATCTTCGCGTGGGGACCTAGGGTGGACCCCAAGATCATATGCCAGCGGTTGGCAGTCAACCCGGAGTCTAGGCCGGTGAAGCAGAAGAAGCGTTTCCTCTCGTCCGAGCGGAGGGAGTTTGTCTCCAAGGAAGTGACCACCCTCCAGAGCATTGGGCATATCAGAGAAGTTAAGTACCCAGAATGGATGGCGAACGTAGTGTTGGCTCCGAAGGGTAACACCTGGAGGATGTGTGTGGACTACACCGACCTAAATAAGGCATGTCCCATGGATCCATTCCCACTCCCGAACATCGACCAGCTGGTGGATGAGACGGCGGGTTGCGAGCTCATGAGTTTCATGGACGCCTTCAGCAGGTACCACCAAATCCGAATGCACCCTGAAGACGAAGAGAAGACGTCTTTCACTACCCCCGATGGAGTTTATTGTTACAAGGTGATGCCTTTTGGACTCAAGAACGCCGGGGCAACCTACGCTAGGATGGTGAGCAAGCTCTTCGCGCCCGTCCTCGGGAAGAGCATGGAAGCGTACGTCGACGACATGATTACGAAGAGCAATCAGGCAACCACCCATGCGGAAGACTTAGAAGGAGTTTTCAAGATTATGGAGAAGTACAACCTTCGGCTGAACCCGAAGAAGTGCACGTTCGGAGTTCAAGGCGGTAAGTTCTTGGGACACATGGTGAGCAGGCGCGGTATTGAGCCCAACCCCGAGAAGGTGCGCGCCATCCTTGACATGGAAGCTCCACGAAATGTCAAAGAGGTGCAGCGCTTGACCGGAAAGTAGGCTGCGCTCAGCCGCTTCCTTTCCAAGGTAGCGGATCGAGCCGCTCCATTCTTCCAAGCTGTGAAGAAGTCCCGAGGGTTCGTCTGGACGGAAGACTGTCAGCAATCCTTTGAATCTCTGAAATCTTATCTCTTCTCTCCGCCGGTCCTCGCTAAGCCCGAGCCCGGAGAGACCTTGTATCTTTATTTGGGAGTGTCGCCCAGTCTACACGGCGAAGACGTTGGGGGTGCCGAGCTCAGGTATTCGGTGGCCGAAAAGACAGTGCTGGCCGTGGTTTCAACCGTGCATCGGTTGACGCCCTACTTCCAAGCTCACCCGGTCCAGGTGCTCTCCCAGCAGCCCATAGGTGCGTTGCTCAGGAGTCCGAACACGCCCTCTCGCATGTCCAAGTGGGCGGTGTTCCTTGGAGCCTTCCAGATCGAGTTCAAGCCAAGGCCAGCAATCAAAGGCCAAGCGCTGGCCGACTTCGTGGTAGAATGCACCGCTCGAGAAGAGCCGAGCCCGGAACTTGAAGCCGACGATTGGTGGACAGTTTTCACCGACGGCTCCTCCGCCGCCAAAAACTCGGGGGGTGGAGTGGTAGTCATCGCTCCCGAAGGCTTCAGAGCATATTACTCAGTCCGATTCGGCTTCAAGGTATCAAATAATGAGGCGGAATATGAAGCGCTCTTGTGCGGGTTACGTCTGGCAGCCGGGATGAACGCGACAAAGCTAAGGATAAATTGTGATTCGAAGTTGGTGGTTGGCCATGTCTCGGGAGAGTTCGAGGCGAAGGACGAAAGAATGAAGAAATACAAAGATACGGCTCTAGAACTACTTAAAAGCTTCACCGCGTATAGTGTCGAGCAGATCCCTCGGGCGGAGAACGCCGAGGCGGATATCTTGTCAAAGCTGAGCTCAGACACGCCCGAGCACATCAAGCGAATGGCGAATGTGGAAGAGCTGTCCGAGCCGAGCATCCATGCCTTCCCCGTGACAATGATTTGTGCTCAGCCCAGAGATTGGACGGACGACATAGTCGCCTTCCTGAAGGATGGCACCCTCCCAGACGAGTCGATGAAGGCCAAGTTGGCCCGGACAAGGGCACCGGGGTATACCTTGGAAGGCGAGAAGCTATACAAGCGAGCATACAACGGGACGCTACTCAGGTGCCTCCGACCGGCCGAAGCGAAATAAGTCATGGGGGAGGTGCACGCCAGAATCTGCTCCGCCCACCAAGGAGCATACGCGGTGTCAAGGAAGATAACCCTTCAAGGATATTTTTGGCCAACAATTGTTAAGGATTGCACGGAGTTCGTGAAGAAATGTAAAGTGTGCCAAGAGTTCCAGAAGGTACCGGGGAGGCCTTCAACAAACTATACCCCCATCAGCACGGCTATCCCGTTCGTGCGGTGGGGAGTAGACCTCGTGGGCGCACTTCCTAAGGGCACCGCGAACGTAAGGTACGTCATTGTAGCCATCGACTACTTCACCAAGTGGGTGGAAGCAGTCCCATTGGCAAGCATCACCGGAGCCCAGTGCCAGAAGTTTCTCGCAAAGCAAGTCATCTGCCGCTTCGGCGTGCCCGAGCACATAATCACAGACAATGGGACACAATTCGAGTCCAAGCCCTTCAACGACTTCCTTGGAAGCTGGGGGATCAAGCACAGCTATGCATCGGTTGGGTACCCACAGACGAACGGACAGGTCGAGAACGCCAATCGAACTATAGTCGACGGGCTGAAGCGGAAGTTGGAGGCCTGCGGAGGAGAGTGAGCAGAGGAGTTGCCTTATATCCTATGGACCTACCGGACTACGCCTAGGAGGGCAACCGGGGAAACCCCCTTCGCCCTGTGCTACGGATTCGAGACAAGGGCCCCTGCAGAGATCTCCATCACAACTCACCGAGAGGAGGTCTCCGACCCTGAGCGTAACGAAGAAGCCCTGGCGGCCGAGCTCCATCTCGTACACGAGAGGCGAGAAGCGGCCTTCATACGGGCAGAGAATTACCGAAGGAAGGTGAAGAGCTACCATGACGGCCGTGTGCGCGCACGGGGGTTCATCGAAGGAGAGTGGGTGCTGCGCAAGAGGTCCTTAAGCCACCCCCTAGAAGGTGGAAAATTTGCCAAGAATTACGAAGGCCCCTACATCATCAAAGAAGTGGTAGGCCCCTCGACGTTCCGCCTGCAGACGCCGAGTGGAGGGGATGTGCCCAGGACTTGGAATGCCGAGAACTTGGTTAAGTTGTATCAATAGATTTCGAATGTACACGGGCCCGAGAAAGGGAACCCGCAACACCATGATTGAATTCAATGAAATGAAACCTTTTGCAAACAAGGTCCAACAGGCGTGCTCGGCACTCCCCCTCAGGGGAAGAGCCGAGCGCAGACCATGTCCGGATGCTCTTCCCGGATAAAGGTCTAACCTTCGTGCTCGACACTCCTCCTCAGGGGAAGAGCCGAGCGCAGACCATACCCGGACGTTTTTCCCGGATGGAGGTCAACCATTCGTGCTCGTCACTTCCCTCAGGGGAAGAGCCGAGCGCAGACCACGGCCAGATGTTCTTCCCGGATAAAGGCCTAACCTTCGTGCTCGGCACTCCTCCTCAGGGGAAGAGCCGAGCGCAGACCATACCCGGACGTTTTTCCCAGATGGAGGTCAAACATTCGTGCTTGACACTCCCCTTAGGGGAAGAGCCGAGCGCAGACCACGTCCGGATGTTCTTCCCGGATAAAGGTCTAACCTTCGTGCTCGGCACTCCTCCTCAGAGGAAGAGCCGAGCGCAGACCATACCCGGACGTTTTTCCCGGATGGAGGTCAAACATTCGTGCTCGACACTCCCCCTCAGGGGAAGAGCCGAGCGCAGACCATGTCCGGATGCTCTTCCCGGATAAAGGTCTAACCTTCGTGCTCGGCACTCCTCCTCAGGGGAAGAGCCGAGCGCGAACCAAACATCTGTGCTCAGCACGCCTCCTCAGGAGGAGGGCGGAGCGCAACCCTTAAGGCTAATGGCAAAAAGTGAAAACAAGACTTCATCAAATCTAAATTTTATTCATCCCGAAAAACGGGCAAGTACATGGCACAAACGCCTTACAATAATTAAACACCTTGCAACTAAAGTACGAGTAGACTTCAATGCATGCCACAATTCCACCCCCGCTCGCACGGGCAAGGTGGGGGGTAGGAAGGTGAAGGAGCCCGACTGACGACGGAGTGCCCGGTAGACTCGTCATAGCTGGGCGAGCCTAGGTCTTCAAGGGAGCACTGGCTCGGATGGTGGGATGCCACGGAGCTCTCGCTCGGAACTGCTGTGGGAGGAGCTGGAGGGCGGCGACCTCGGCCACCGCGGCCGGCAGGAACCGGGGGAGCGACGACCTCACGTCGGACCGGCGGAGCCGGCGGAACCGACGGAGATGGGGTCTTCTCGTCCTCCTCCGACGAGTAGTAGATGAACCCCGGGATCTTGGCAGAAGGATCGGGGTGCACCGACTCGGACTCAGAGTCCGAGTCCCAAGAGTCCCGCAGAGAGGGCGGCGGGGTGGAGCTCGGCCTCGACTCGGTCGGAATGGCAGAAGAGCCCCTGAGGGAGTAGGTGCCGAAGGAGAACGTCTCTCCTCGCATCTCACTGGAATCGGGAGGAGTGGGTGCCGAGCGCGGCATGGCAAGATTTGAAGAAATTCAAATATGAGTGAAAACAAATTGTGAGGACCCCCCCTTATATAGGCATGTTGCCATGGGGGGGAAGTTACACGGGGACGGTCGTACTAACGGCAGGTCAAAAGGTCCCAGGTCCCAAGGTTGTCTTGGTTAACGAGGGGACAGAAAAGGGACCAAGTCCCAAAGTGACCTCTCTTCGGCATGGCCGAGCTCAGGTCGGACGGGGGATGGGCGAGCACGCAAGTTAAAGGAAACGACAAAAGACGGTAAAATTAAGGGCAAGACGGGAAAGCATAACATATCCATACAAAGCAAAAACCCGAATTCAAAAAACAAGTTCTGAGCAGCATTACATCAAATACGACAAAGTTTAAAGTCATATCACTCGGCATTCGGCTGCTCGCCGGCCGTGTCCCCGCCATTCGGGTAGTAGATGGAAGTGTCAAACTCGCCAGGGTTGTCGCATGGTTCGGGGAAGTCTATCCCAACGAGGAACCTATCGGAGAGGACCTGCTGCGCTCGGAACAGACCAAGGTTGTACCACGACGTCCCTTCGGAGCAAGCAAAGGCTTTCCCCTCGGGAGTCTGCCCCCAGGCCTTGAGTAGATCATTCATGCGGGCGAAGGCCTCATCCTGGAATGCCCCCGAGGATATGAACTTGGCCACGGCCTGATCGCGAGCCTCCTGGCGCGCCTTGCGAGCAGCCCCCTCCGCGAGCTGCTGAGCCCGCTCCTCGGCCTGGCGAGCTTGCTCCTTGGCCGCCTTCAACGCCTCACTGAGGTCGGCTATCTCAACATAAGCCATGCTCCGGTCATCCTCACTAGCGCGCAGCCGCTGACTCATGTCGACCATGCGCATCATCGCCTGCAAATAACAAAGGGGTGAGCACCACAAATGAATTACATTTGTAAGGTGTGACAAGGGAAACTTACCGAGCCCAGCTCGTGGAAAGTATCCGAGGCCAGAGTCTCCCGGTCGATATCTTTTATCTTGGCGCGATCAGTTGGAGGAGTGAAGCTGCGCAGGATGGTCTCCGGGTCGTAGTCCCGATCTAGGAAGGAGACCCGAGCGGGGAAGGCTGCCTTGACGTATTTAAGATGGCCGAAGTCCTTCATCATGGGGGACTCAGACCCCTGCGAAGCGTCGGCGGCCGAGGCCGTTTCCTTCCTCTTCTTCTTCTGCGCCGTCTCGGGTGTCGGCTTCACGGGTGGAGTCGGGGGACGGCCGCCCGAGGTAGGAGCTTGGGAGTTGCCGCTCGGAGCGTCCGGGAACATGAGCTTCACCCGCTCAGCGTTGGAGAGCATGATTTCACCTGCACAAAACCAAAGAAGACAAGTGGTGAGGCGAGAACTTAGCCGCGAAGAGAAGAGGGGAAATCCGAAGCAGTCGCGACCCATGGATGGCCGAGCGTAAGAGATTGCACTGACCTGAGGGGCCTTCTTCGATGCTCCGCTGAGTGTCTTCCGGGGACAGGAAGACGAAGCCGAGCGCCGCCAACGCCTCGTTCGTCACAAGCGAGCCAACTTCGAAAGGCCCCTCACGGCAGAGCGTCTCCACATCCTCGAGCATCTTGTCCGAAGTGACGCACGCGGAACGGCGACAAAAGGAACTGAGGGGCTCTTTACGAAAGGGGGAGCCCGAGGAGATAGAAACGAAGACGAATTTCCCCTTCCAACTCTTGGCGGAGTCCTTCCGCGTCTTGAAGAGCTTCTCTTGCCTTTGGAAGATGGAGGCATACGAGTTAGAGTCGGAGTTCGCCCGGCCAGACGACTTCGCCAACCGGAAGAGCAGCAAGAAGCGGGCTAGATCAGGGCGAACCCCGGTCCTTTGGCATTGAATAAGGAACCCCGCCAAGTATCGATGGGATTTGGGCACGACTTGGCAGGGGAGAAAATCGAAGTGGATGAAAAAATCTTTGACTAACTGATGGAGGGGGAAGCGGAACCCATACTCGAGGGACTTGAGGTGGATGGCGAAGAAACTCGGAGGGGCGTCAAAGACTGACTGCTCGGGGGTGGGACGGTGCACGGTCACACCCGGCGCCGAGGCTAGGCGCTTCGCCTTGCGGAACTCCTCCCCGGTAAGGGTGCACTTCCGAGCTCGGATCCCCGAGTCCTCGAGAGTGGTCCGCCTCTGGTTGCGAGGCTCGGACTGAGGAGGGACCTCGACCGCCGCGACTATCTCCTCGACGGAAGCCGAGCGGGAGTCGCTGTCCTGCGCGGAGCCGATGACAGAGCCCTCGGCATCGCGCTCAGACTCGGACTGACGAAAGACTGAGGATTGGGAAGACATGGAAGAACAAGGACGAGGAAGACTAACGTAGTACGGAGCTGGAAAATGGACGAGAACGACGGCGGGAAGGCTAGCGACGGCGAAGAGTCCTACTTTCTCTCTCTAAAAAGTGGAGAATGGAGAGGGTAGGGTTGATATTTATAGAGGAAGGGTTGAATGGGTGCCATGATGGGCCGCCACTTGGCCTAGGGAGGCGAAACGGCGCACCCCTTCATGATGGCGAAGCCCAAACGGCACCAATGGCCTGCCAACTACTCCACGTGGGCCCCCGCGCCGCTTTCCTACAGTACCCATACTCTATCGTGTTCCATCGCCGATTGCAACGAAACCCGGAGAGGGGGGCTTATGATGGAGGACGACTCCAAAAGACACGTCAGGCGGGCCCCATCAGCCACGTGGAAGATCTTCTCTGCTCGGCCCATGAGCTCGGCTCGCCCTATGGGCTCGCTCGGCCTGCGAGCTCGGATGGGGACCGTGATAGCGACCGCCGGATAGCGACCGGCCACGTTGACTGCGCGACATCGACGGGATGAAAGGGACAACGCATAACAGAGATGACGTCCGCTAGGCGACGAACCTCGATCAGAGAAACTTTGACTATGTGTATTGTATCCCAAAAGGGGTGAGACCCCTCATTGTAATGGATCCAAGTTTAGAACGAATAAACTCCTACTTTGCATTCTCTCTCTCTAAAACTTATATTATTCTTTATTCTCGGTGGTTTATAGCCATCAATATTCAAATCTTATTTTGAATTCGTCTCATATCTGGATTCGGATTCGGCTTCGGAAAAATTAAACAAATACAAATTCAAATATCTCGGGCTGATATTTTTGACCCGGTCCAGTCAAATTGAAATTGGCAGCCATAATTCTGGAATTTTGACTCACGGACAATTTTTTTCGGAAGTCGTTTTACTTGATTCTGCTTCAAAAAATGCTAGGGATAGACCAAAAGTGTACCCCAAATATCCCCACCCCCTCCATTACCCAAAAAAATGCAAGTAAAATTAAAAAAAAATAAAAAAATAAAAACAAAATAAAATGAATGGTGTAGAGGCAAGTGATGTATATTTTGGGTACACCTCTCCCTTCTACTTCTTCTTCTTCTCCATGTCTTCTTCTTTTGCCAACTTCTTCCATCTCTCCACAACTTCTTTCTTCTCATTCGACCTCAACCCAAAGAGCATCCGTACGGCTTCTTCTTCCTCTATTTTCTCCTTCGACGGTAATTTGGTGAGTGGTCGCGATTCAGACTACAGAGTATTTCAATTTTAATTATGAAGCATTATTAGGGTTCTTCTTCCTCTATCTTCACCTTCGATGGAGTATATCAATTTGATTTGCAGAGTATGAAGCATTAGGGGTTTAGGGTTCTTTTTCCAGATTTGATTATTCATTTTCCAAATATTGTTCTCCCAAAATGGACCAAACAGAAATGAACAATTTTCAACTTTCTTCCTAACGCCATAATTAATTAAGTATAACTCTAGCCTAGTTGAGTATCAATCCAAATAGGGAACTCGAGGATGAAAAGTGGCAGATTTGACAGAGTTACAAATTGGGGATATCATTACTGATTTATTAAAAACTGTACTATCCTCCGTTGAGAAGCTAACATTTAGGATGATGCTATTTGTACCCCAAGGATTTGTACCCCATTTTGTACACTGCAGGGATGCACCAACATTTTGTGCTGGTGTAATGCTAATTTTTGTTAACGCACCAACTTTTGTGTCAATGTAATTTTTTGTTAACGCACAAACACTTTGTGTCAGTGTGAACCATCAAAATGTTGGTGCATACCTTTGGTGTACAAATGGGGTACAAATTTTGGGGTATATATAGCATGCTCCTAACATTTAACAATGAAAAGCTGTATGTTAGTAAATTTTACAAAAAAAAATAATCTTCGGCATTTATCAAAGCAAAAGCATCTCAAAGAATAAGAGGGGTTTTACATTTTCAATCATGTATTCTGTAGGACTTTGCCAAGTTTGTATCTGGAATAAAAACAAATCCCCCAAAATGCGATGCCAGAATGCTTCCGCTGTTTATTACACTGCAGCATCATTGACCAGAAGGCTCGTGTCAACGCTTGCTTCTCGCAATCTGTTCATTGGAGGTCTCTGTTTTTCCTTTATGTGTTTGCGTCACTTGTGTGTGAGGTCTTCTACAATATGTCTCAATAGTTGGTTGCAATATATGGATTAACCATTAATCAAGACAAATCAAGACAATTAGTTTAAAGTACTGATCCCTCTGTCTTCCAAGAAAAAATCTTGTTCCGAAAGTTATTTTGTCTAAAAACAAGTCATATTTCATAAAATGAAGTTGGTTTTGATGTAATTTTTTTAAAGAAAAAAGCTTACAAACCAGTTCAATGTGATAAGTTTGTTAAACAAAATAATACTCAATAATAATATGATTCTGGTTTGCAGATTTGTCTTTCCAATAACTTTAACACCTCCCTGATTTGAGTTGTATGCCTTGCCTTAAATTCTATTTTTTTCCACATATTTCAGGCCTTTCATATGATACCAATGAAACTATTCTGAAGGACGCTTTTATGAAGCACGGAGAATTGATTGAAGGTAATATTAGTACTCCCATATTTATCTCATAATTTGGCTTTGTAATGTTTGCATGGTTGCTAAGAAAGTAGAGACTGTGGCTGATATTTGTGTTTAGATAAGAGAAGAAATAATATCATTCACACAATGGTATCTTCAAAAAGAAAGATTTAATGTTGGGACCGATGGAAAAGGAAAGAACAAATATAAAAAGAGAGAGAGACGAGGGCGTGCTTCTTTTGGAATGTTAATATACTTCTTGTTTTAGTGAAGGTAATATGTGACCATAAAAGTGGGAAATCCAAGGGCTACGGTTTTGTGAAGTATGAGTCTGAAACTGCAGCAAGTGAGGCTTTAAAAGAAATGAATGGTCAGGTACTTTTAAAGAGGAGCTTTTCTACATAACTTACAAGTATTTCATACTCTCGTGGGAATCAACAAGGTTGTTGTTCCTAGCTTTACTGCATAATTTACTAGTACTTCATACTCCATCCGACCTGCTGGGCATAAAAAGTTTGGCAAACTTTAGCGGGACTGAGGGAATATTTGATAGATTTAATAATATAATATGCTTCGGTGTAGTTATTGGATGGAAGAAGCATGCGTGTTGATTATGCCCACAAAGGATGATTTTCACTCATGCCACCGCAAGGCTATAGGTAGAGCGAAGCATTGCCCTTTTGTTACTGTCATTTGTTTCTTGCATGATATTCGGGGGCGTCCATTGTGGTTTAGTACTATCCAAAATGTACTCCCCGTCTCCGTGTAAACAGAGACCTCCAATGTACTATTCAAAAGGCCTTATTTGTTTAATACTCCGTAATATATTTGAAGGATTTTCATCCATCGGAAACACACACACATGTCGTGACTGTATGAAATGAAGAATAACTATAATGAATCGGAGATCAAAATCTTATACAATGATGTGGTTATTCATATAGATATCTCTTTCTCTTAGTGTCTTTGTTCAGTATAACTTTTGCTGACGAATTTGATGAATTTTGATCATTGATTAAATAAACACTACTCCGTACATTGTAAGTTAATAAAATAGAAAACTTTTTAAATAAATAGAGTACTCCGTATTTTATAAAAATAATTGAACTAAATCAAATTTTTTGTACAGAAAAGTAATTTAATTTTCTAAATTGACAAATAAAGCTTGTCTTCCTTAAAAAAAAAATTATACTTTGTCTAGTTTGATTGCGAAAAATTAATTGGACGAACACACTACTAAGACATAGGTAGTTTATCTGGAGAATGCTACATAGAGTTAATTCTAGAACGGGCCTTGCTAATAAGATATTTTTCTAAGTTAATCCTTAATAAGTACTCCCTCCGTCCGGAAATATTTTTCCCATTTTCCTTTTTGGTCTGTCCGGAAATAATCTTCTCATTTCCTTTTTTAGTATGCTTTTTAAGGCTAAATATCAATAATACCCTTCTATTTTATCACAAATCTACTTTTTTAATACTTTTTTAATAATAAAAGGAGATTTAAAAGTTTATAGTATGTGCATTTTTGAAAATTTTGCATTTTTTTTACTATTCCTTAATAAGCGTGCCAAGTCAACACGTGAAGAACATTTTCGGACGGAGGGAGTAATAATTACTAACATAATCCTTTATAATCGAGACGTATTTCCTAAATAGCTCTCTATCAAAAATGCCTATTAAATGACAATTAATTGGAGGATATTTTGTATTTTTGATCATCTAAATTATGAATAAGTCTTCAAAATGATTCTTTCAAATGAAGTATGTAGTTACTAGAGGAATGGATCTACACCGAGTGGGTTCATGGGCTCTATTTCGGAAAAACATGTATTTAGAAATTATTATTCTAGAAAAGTACTTAAATATAAAGGAATATTTCGAAATATACTTTAAGCCTAGATGATAGAAATACTAAAATATCTTTTATTTAGCTGATATTTACTCCCTCTGTCCCGAAGTATTTGTATACTGTTGACTTTTTTGGTCAAAATTGATAACTTTGACCTCAAATTAAATAAAATGATATTAGATATTGATATGAATTTTTTATTAGATTTATAATATCAAATATTTCAAAAATATTATTTTATCTAATTAATATACAATATATATTTTATTTAATTATAAGTCAAAGGTTGAAAACAGTTGACCAAAAAAGTCAAAACTGAACAAATACTCGAGGACGGAAGTATTTATAGACCTAGTTACTAATATACGGATGTCGTATAATACGTCAATACGAACGCACGTGTATAATACATTCGGATTTTATAAAATACAGCTTACTATGCATATTAAACGTTCGGCGTACAGATACGGATATGTACAAGTTTTAAATGTTTTTATTTCAAAATATTACATGTTTATATTAACATATAAACATCAAATCTATACATATTTATTGAATGATAGTCATCAATTTATATTAAGGTAAATTAGTAAAATGCAAAAATCTTTTAAATGAAATATTTACAATAGAATTTTTCAAATTAGAATCTTTATTTTTTAAAATATTTATTTGGAAAGAATATATACTCCCTTCATTAGGAAAAAAAATGTTAAAAAATGAAAACTTTATAGTTTGAATTTGTTTAGAAAAAACAACGAAGAGTTGTGAGTCACTCATTCCTTTCTTAAAAAAAATTATTTTTTTGAGAGAGACAAAAAGGGAAAGAGTGAAGTCTTGTTTAGAACTTGACAAAAAAAGTGTAAAGGTTTTTGTTGAAAGGAGAGAGTATATATATTTCCAAACTGATTAATTTTGCAATTAATATTGAATATTAATTAAATAAAAGCAACTATATGCTTCTAATGTTAAATATAATAATCCATATTAATATTATGACAATAATTAAGTATTGTATATGTAACTGATATAAAGTATTACTGATATAAAGTATTACTCGTATTTTATTTATATGTTTGTTGGAAAAAAATACTCCCTCCATGCACAAATAAACTTTCCGTTGCGC